CTGGTCGCCTTTTTAGTGTTTTAAGATAAAGATTATTCTGTAGCCCAGACTGGCTTAAGTTTATGGTAATCCTCCTGCCACAGCCTCCTGAATGGGGATCACAGGCGTTTGCCAACACTCTTGGCATAACAGGGTTGCTGTAAACTGTGTGTCATGCCAGGACAGGTCAGGTGGAGCCTGAAGGATGAGGGAATTGATGTTTCCTACATCTGTGTTCTGTAGATCTAAATTACACACCTATTGTGTGTTGAGCCCTGCATGGGGTGTTCAGAGAGGACCAACTCCTGAAAGTTGTCCTGACCCCCCACATGCATGCTGTGGCACATGCCCCTGCTCCACTAAATAAATAAAGCAGAGCTAGGAGTGGTGCCACACACCTGTAGTTCCAGCACTCAAGAGGCAGAGGCAGGAGGATTGCAAAAGCTCAAGACCAATCTGGTCTACATAGCAAGTTCTAGGCCAGCCAGGGCTATAGAGTGAGGCCCTGCCTACAAATAAAATTTACTAACAACACACACACACTAGGTCTGTTGGCAAGAACCAGTCTGAGTGGCTTGGCACACTGCTTTCCAGACACTGGGGAGGTGAGAAGGCTGCGGTGGTGTCATCTGTGTTCTTCAATGTTCACAACCCTGTGCTTGTACCGACATATGCCAAGCCCTACCTGTCACCAGGGGGTGGCAGCGTTTTCCTGTAAGGAGCCAGACAATTTACAGGAGTTTGTCTTTCTCCATCACGAGCGTCCCAGGGATCCAACTCAGGTTGTCAGGCTTAGCAAGCACCTTTACCTACTGAGCTGTCTTCCTGGCCATCTGGGTTTTTTTGTTGTTTTGATTGGTTTCTTAAGAGATGAAAGGAGAGGTTTTCTTGGCTAAGGTTCAGGGATTACATCATGATGTAGAAAGCATGACGGCTGAAGCAGTCAGGGGTTAGGTCCATGGCAGTGGAACATTCAAGACTGTAGCATGGTGTTCATGCCCTCTCAGTAAGCAAGAGCTGTTTCGGTTTTTGAGATAGTTATTTTGAGCTGGTCTCAGATGCATTATGTAGCTTAAGATAACCTGAAATCTGTTTTTTTTTATTTTTTATTTTTTTTGGAGACAGGGTCTGGCCTGGAACTTACTCTGTAGATCAAGCTGGCCTAAAATTCAGAGATCCACCTGCCTCTGCCTCCCTAAAGGTGTATACCATCACACTTGGCTCTAAGTCCTGTTTTCTTTTTGATGGAGGAAGGTCATTGGCTAATAAAGGAACTACCTTGGCCCATTTTATTGGTTGAAAGATAGGTGGGAGGAGTAGGCAGAACAGGACCCTGGGAGGAAGAGGAAGTGAGCTCAGACTCGACAGCTCTCCTCTCGGGAGCAGACGCCTGAGAGAGACGCCATGCCCCGCTCCCGGCATGAAGCTCCAACCCAGGATGGACTAGGCTAGAATCTTCCCGGTAAGACGGGTTCTCACAGATTATTAGAGACGGGTTGATCGGGATGTGAGAATTAGCCTTTAAGTGCTAGAGCTAAAGGGCCAAGCAGTGTTTAAATGAATACAGTTTGTGTGTTGTTATTTCAGGGGATAAGCTAGCCGTGCGGGCGGCTGGGGTGCTGGGGACGCAGCCCCGCTGCCCTTATTACTACATTTTTTTATACTTAGTTTTACTACTTGATGTGTATGGGTGTTTCCCCTGCATGTTTGTCTGTGTGCCATGTGCATGCCTGGCACCTGTGGCAATCAGATGAGGGCATTGGATCCTCTAGGACTGGAGTTATAGGTGGTTGTGGGTGCTGGAAACTGAACCTGGGTCCTCTGCAAGAGTCAATGCTCTTAACCACTGAGCCATCTCTCCAGTTCTTAAGTTCTATTTTTTTTCCCAGAGGTAGTATCTCACTCTGTAGCCCAGACTGGCATCAAGCCTACTAAATGCCCGCTAAATGCATATGCCACCTAGACCTGGGTTAAGATACAAACCTAGCTGGGCGGTTGGTGGCACACACCTTTAATCCCAGCACAGTGAGCTTCAGGACAGGTTCCAAAGCTACAGAGAAACCCTGTCTCGAAAAACCAAAATAAAAACAAACAAAATACAAATCTAAAGAGTAAAATCCCAAAATGTTTAGATGAAAAGTATGGAAAGCAGAATTATATTAGAGACCAGAAGCAAAGAAAAAAATATACACATACATATATATGTAGGAAAAAATATAGTTTCCCCCAAGACAGTGTTTCTCTGTAGCTTTGGAACCTGTCCTGGAAGTAGCTCTTGTAGACCAAACTCAGAGATCCGCCTGCCTCTGCCTTCCAAGTGCTGGGATTAAAGGCATGTGCCACCACTGCCCGGAAGAAAACATATTTGAAACCAAAAATAAGCACAAATCATGAACGAAGAGACAGATAAGCTTGACCATGAGCAGGTGTAGAGTTAAACCCATGAGGAGACTTGCCCCGTGCTCCGAGATGGAGGAGGTGAGGAACTAAGATCTGAATGTTCCGGAAGTGGACAGAGGAAGTGAGCAGGCTGCTGTGCCGCAAGAGGCTGAGGAAGCCTTGGAGGAGTGATCAGGATCCTTCCTCCCTTCCAAAGCTCAAATGGCGGCAGTGCTCACACAGAAGTGAGGCACAGTGATGCCTGTTTTATAAGGCCAGCATTTGTGAGGTGGAAAGGAGGGCCAATTCAAGGTCACCCTCAGCTACTTATGGAGTTTGAGGCCAGCCTTTGGCTATGAGACTGGCTCAAAAACAAAGAAACCAAAGGTGCTGGTCTGGGCCAACTTTACCTCAAACCCTGTCTCAAAAAAAAAAAACTTTACCTTGTACAGATAGGAAAACTGAGGCCGAGAGGACAGTGGCAGAATGGGTGGAAGTGGGTCTCTAGGCAGCCCACTGCCCTACTTCCTCCCTGCCCTCCCCAGAGCCTTTGCACCTCTTTAAGGGCTCTCCGGGGGCTCTTGTTCATGTGCCTAGTCCCTGCAGAGGACCGGTACTCCTTTGACAGGTCTTACAACCCTATCTAAATGCACCCCCATCGTGCCCCATTGCCTGTCACGCTGCCCTGTTTAAGTGCCCACACTGCGTCTGCCACTGCCCAATGCTGCACTGCACACCTACTCCCCGGCCTCGCCACTACCAAGCACACAGGCCCCATGACACCAGGGACTAGTGTCTTTCTTCACTGTCTCCCCAGCATTTCACAGACGGGCACATGGCACACAGAATGGCTTACTAAGGACAGTCACTCCATGGACCTGGGAATGTGTGGATAGGACACATGGAAAGGGAGAATGGGGTGGGATTGAAGATTCTGGATCAGTGGCCTATTTATAGACCAGTGCACAGCTGGGGACACAGTCCAGTGGTGGAGTGGCTGCATGTGAAGGCCTAGCCTCAGTCCCCAATACTGTTACCAAAATAATAGCTCAGGTGAGGATCTTTCTCTGTGAGGCCCTGGATGTCCTGGAACTTACTTTGTAGACCAGGCTGGCCTCGAACTCAGAGATCCTCCTGCCTCTGCCTCCCAAGTGATGGAATTAAAGGCACACACCATCACCAACTGGCTTTTTTTTTTTTAAGTTCACTGAGACAGTCTCATGTCATCCAGGTTGGCCTCAAACTTCCTATGTAGCCAAGGATGACCTTAAACTGCTGATCCTCTTGCTTCTATGTCCCAAGCACTGTTGACGATGGATGTGCACCACGCCATGTGGCTCATCACAGGGTGTTTGTAAGACAGGGATGCAGGAGGCATGGGCACAGTGATTGTAAGGTGGACTGTGGGCAGCCCCTACACGTTGGAAAAGCAGGCAGGCTGGGTCCGGAGCCTCTCCAAAGGCCTGGTCCAGTTACACTGATCTGAGCCCAGACCCCCAGACATGCTGGAGAACAGGTCTCAAGCTGTTGAGTCTGTGGCACCTGATTGTAGTACCAGGAGTGCAGTTGGAATGGGTGAGCCACTGACCCACTGACCAAGTACACAGAGCCCCAGAACAGGACCGGTGTGACCTGGTCAGGAAACAGTTGAGGGCGGAGAAGATCGATAACCCTTGGCTGGTTAAAGTTAGGAAAGGGCCTGGCACGTCCAAGGACCAGGTCTCAACCCTGACTGACTCTGGCTTTTGTCCTGCTTAAACTGCTTAAAGCCCCTTCTGGCTCCACCCCAGAAAGTCCAAACTCCTCAGCCAGGAGTTCACAGCCCTCCTGGGCAGCCCCATCCAAAAGAACTTAGCCCAGAGTGTTTTGAAATTTGTGACCCTGTGACAGAGGATCTGAAGTCGACCTCCCTGCCTGCCTTTTCTCTCCCTCCCTGTTCTTGTTTTTTTTTTGGGGGGTGGTGGTGGATAAGGTCTCACAATGCACCCTATGTGCTCTAACGCTTAGCAATCCTCCTGCCTCCATCTTCAAGAACAGGATCATATTCCACTATTCCTTTATATTAAATGGCCACCTGTGTCTGGTGACAACCACAATGGCTGGCACCTGAGGACCCAGCGCCCTTCCCTGTGAGCAGCCTCAGGCTACTCCCACCACCGCCACCCCCTTCCCTCAGGCTTGATCCCCTAATGGCTCTGCTCCATTCCCACCTTCACCACGGAGCCTTAAAGGGGCCTCCAGGTTTTGGGTGACTTGATGAGAACAGCATTCCTCCCCCCCGCCCCCCGTGCCTCCCAAGATGGATGGAACCACCCTAGCAATGCCACACTGGCACCAGGAAAGGAATCTGGGAAGCCGGCACAAGCTATGAGCGTCCATGTCTCCAGCTCAAGCCCAGAGGGACACCCGACATGATGGCGCAGAGCAAGCTGGGGGGCAGCGCAGAGTGGCAGAGTTCCAACTCCTGCCTCCTGGCAGCACAGGAGTACAGAGTCATCTGGGAGAGAGCTGTTTCTTAGCAGACCTCTGATGGAGGGGCCCCACTCACCTCTTCCAGACCCTAGGACAGGGTTATTGGAGAGAAAGAGTGCAAGCTGAACCCAGACAGAACCTGAGCTGGAGCCTCCTGAGAAAGGAACAACTATGCCAAAAAAAGTCTTTATTAAACTCATGTGTGCACACGTGTACACATGCATACAGGTGTGCACACTCAGGCCTGGGGCACCACCCCATAGAGCTGATGGGGGAGTAACTTCTGCTTTTCATTACAACTGTAGATCCACCGGGGCCTGACGAACGCCAGGGAAGGGTTGTCCATCAGGGCCTGAGGGAGAGGGGTCCACACGGGATAGAGTATCACAGGACAGAGGCAACTCAAAAGTGGGCCTGGGTTCTCCATCTCTCCCCCCGCCCCAACCCAGGGCTCACCTCCTCAAAGACGGGGTCCCACTCCTGGGCTGTGATAACGAACTGGACACGCTCGCTCATGTAGTCCTCAAGCTCACTGGTGGGAGAGAGGAGGTTGTGGGGAGGGCTGTGAGCGGCCTGCCCACACTCTCAGGAGTGTTGCACTGTCCGCTAAAGCACCATCTTTCCCTTGTCTCTCTTGCTGAGATGCTGAGATCTGTATTAAAAGTATCTTTAACAGCCCCACCTCTGCTTGAGGAGGACACCATGACACAGTGGCCTTCAACACAGACCTAGATGTTCTCCACTGCAGTGGGCACTGTCTTATCTCTTTCTTTCTCTTTCCTTCCTGCTTTTTTTTTTTTTTTTTTTTTTTTTGGAGCCTGGCATATACCTCTACCCCCTGAAGCTGCCGGTCCCTCACACAGCAGCCCCGACAAGTCACACCAGCAATGCCCACGGTGCTAACCCTCTCTCTCAGAAGGTGTGGACAAAGAACAGCCCTCCAGGGCCATGAGGCACAGTGGACAGGGCTGGCACCTGGCCTCTGCAGCCTATGTCATCATCCTACAACCCACACCCTCTAGTCAAGTTGCCAGCTTGACCGTGGACCCACCACCAATCCACAACTGACCCATTGAAAGCGGTCACATATCGGATGAGCTTCCTCCTCTCGTCCCCAGGGAACTCCCCATAAAGGAAGAAGTGCTTGCCTTGGAAGAAGTCTGTGGGAGAGATGAGAAAAGGAAACATGAGGCCCCAAATCCCAGGACCTGACCAGGACCGTTGAGTACTTGGGAGCAAAGAGGAAGGTGGAGGTGCCCAGTCGAGGATGAGGTGCTCACAGAGTGGGAACCGAGACTAGGAAATTCTCGTCTAGCCCCAAGCAAGCCAGCAGAGGCTCCTGCATGCCTTTGCCTGGTGCTAAGCAGAAGCCGAGACACACAGCCACAGTGTCCTTACAGTTAGGCCACAGCCACCCAGAGGCAGCCACACTTCACTTCAGCTGTTTCTCTGGCTTCTGAGCTGGTTTCCTTCCCATCTTCACGTGACTTCCCAGGTCACTGACTCACTGTCCTCATTCTGGGAGTTTGGGGGTTCAAAGTACTTTCCTGCCACCGCCCACAACCCAGGAACTGGCCCTTACAGTGACTCAATCTCCCCTTTTCTTCTCTCTTGCCCTCCTACCGCCCCTTCCTTCCTTTCCTTCCTTCCTTCCTTCCTTCCTTCCTTCCTTCCTTCCTTCCTTTATTATGTATATAGTGTTCTGCATGCCTGTATGCCAGAAGAGGGCACCAGATCTCATTATAGGTACCTGAAAGACACCATGTGGTTGCTGGGAATTGAACTCATTACTCTGAAAGAATATCTAGTGTTCTTAACCTTTGAGCCATCTCTCTAGCCCCGCCCCCCCCCCCCCCCCCCCCCCGCCTTCCTTTTTCAAAGGTCTTAGTAGTCCAGGTTGGCCTGGGTCTCCTGATTGCTGGGATTCAGGCATATGCCACCATACCTGGCTCTCCTATTCTTGACCCCGGGAGGATCAGACACCCTTCCACACCCTGCAGTTTTCCCTGTCTTCTGGCTCTATTATCTTCAAAGCTCTCCAGCAGAGTGTGGTAGCACATATGTGATCTAAGAACTTGGGAGGCTGAGGCAGGAGAGCTGCAAGTGTGAGACTAACCGGGGCTACCTGAGACTGTCTCAAAAACAAAACAGGAAAGACCACACACACAGAGACAGACATACAGCATTGGCCTAACATTGCCAGCAATGAGTGTTAAACAATGTGCCCAGCTCTCGGATGCCATGAGCAGCAGGACAGTTAGGAGAGCCGAGTTTGGTGGCAAGCTGGGGAGTCTTGAGGTTGCTCACACCGGGAGGGTCACCACACAGTAAGGTCACACTGGTGAGAGCAGGAAGCTGTCGGCAGCAGGTGATGAGGGAGCCACTGGAAGGGGAGCACTAAGGCAGGGAGTCAGGGAGCAGGTGGGGTAGGACACAGCAGTGATACACAGAAGTCAGAGATTACCAACCTGGCAGCTCTGGAATTGGCAGGTCAGCCTCGGTGTCTGTATTCTCGTCTGTGGAGCCAGCATACGGGTCCTCGCCATTCTCCCCTGGAGCTGGGGGCTGCTTCTGCTCCCTCTGCTTGGCCACCCTGGAAGGTCAAGGATTGTGAAGGGTGAGCACTCAGGGAGCAGACACCTACACCGAAGGCTAGGCTGCACCTACCCAACCCAGCCTACCTCCTCAGCTCATCCTCCGTGTCCCCGGAATCTTCTGCCCCATTGTCCTGTCCTTCTGCCAGTAGCAACTCAGTCAACAAGCTTGTTCTCTAGGAAATCTGCTAACAGCCTCGGGACGGCACCCGAGAACACAGCCTCAGCTGCCTTCTCCTTCACCCCATTCATCTGGATACAGCCCTTCCCCCTCTCAGACCCAGAAATCTAGACCCAAGCCCTTCTCCCCCAGACCCAGGAGTTCAGTCCTAGCCCTCCTCCCTCAGACCCAGGACTCGAGACCCCAGCCCTCCTCCCTCAGACCCAGGGGTCCAGACCCCAGTCCTCCTCCCTCAGACCCAGGAGTCCAAGCCCACCTCTCCTCCTCCCCACAGAAATAGGAATACAGACCTCCCCCTCACTCAGACTCTAACCTGACTGTTCCCCCTCAGTGTCACTATTGTCCTGGGGTCCTGGTGAGGGTGCTTTCGTCTCTTTTGGAGTTGGTGGTCTTTTTGGTGAGCTAGGTCCTGCTGCCTGGGTCTTGGCTTTGGCCTGGGGCCGCTGAGGAAGGAGGGCTGGGTGAGTTCAGGGGCAGTATGAGGCTGTGGACAACCAGGAGGGGCAGAAGCGGGAGACCAAGGTAGCACAGCCTGGTCAGCTCCCAGCAGACCTCCTGACCAGGTAGGGGCATCAGACCTTATGGGGAAGCTTGGGAGTTTCATCTTCACCGCTCTCACTGGGAGAGTCCCCCTCGTCCTCACTGCTGGAGCCAAGACCTGCCATGAGGTACCTAGGGGAGAAATTGGCCTCAGGTACAGAACTAAGAAAGAACTGGGGGGTGGGGAGCAGTAGGAATCCACTGTCCCTGCCCCCTCCCCAGCACCAGAGGGGTCCACAGCATGCCAGGCAGCTCAGCCACCCACAGACTCTTTCCCTCTTGGGAAGATCTGTCCCATCTGAGAGAGGACAGAGGAATGGGAGCCAGTCTTCCCTTTGAGACTCAGAGGAGGATGAGCAGTAGGGGAGATCTCAGGTGGAACTCTGACTCTGGGGTCCTTGCACCTGTACACTCAGCCAATAGCAGAGAAAAGCGGCGTCTGCACTAACCATTCACAGGCTTGCTAATTACCTGCTAACAGCATGGTTAGGTCTCACATGGCACCTACACAGTGCTGATTACAAACCATCTAGAGAGGATTCAGAATGTGAGAGGAGCTGGCCTGGTGGGCCATCTGCAATCCTACTACTCAGAATGCTGAAGCAGGAGGATTGCAAGTGCAAGGCTTGCCTGGGCTACAGAGTGAACTCAAGTCCAGCCTAGGTAACTTAATAAGACCTCCCTCAAAATAAAACCTGAAAGGAAGACTAGGGATACAGCACAGTGGTAGAGCCCCTGCCTAGAATACCCCCACACAGATATATAGTCATACACATCATTAAATAGTAATACATTTTTTTAAAGTATATGGAAAGATATGCACTTTTTATGTAAACACTGTGGTTCTGTTTAAGCAACTTGTGTATATGCATATTTTTAAAGATTTACTCATTTCTATTTTACATGTATCAGTGTTTTCCTGCATGTATGGCTATACCCATCATATGTGTGCCTGGTGTCCACAATGACTAGAAGAAGTCATCGGATACTCTGAGACTGGAGTTACAGACAGTTGTGGGCACTGGAAATTGAACCCAGGTCCTCTGGAAGAGCAGCCAGTGCTCTTAACCACTGAGCCATCTCTCCAGCCCCAACCACCTTCAGAATTTTGATCCTCAATATTGTGTGTGTGTGTGTATGCATGCATGCGTGTGTGACTGTGTGTGTGTGCTGAAACCAGGCCCCACTCTGACACACATGTGGGATAAGAGAGCCCACGAACACCCTCACATTCGTTCAGGGTGATCACTGGAGCGGTGATTGATGCTAAAGCTAGATAACTAGCTCCCAGGGGTGTGTAGATACCAAACACAATGTGGAGTCCACTGCCTCCTCCAGGTCAGCTGACCCACCACCTTCCTGTCTTGGTCCTGCTGATACAAGTATGCCGGGTTGAGCCCTACTTCTGAACGCACTCAAGCGACATCCTGTGACTCAAGTCTCGCCCCAGTCCTCAGCCCTTGGATCCGACTGCTCTTCTCCAGATCAAAATCTCCCTTTCTCCTGCTGTCAGTAGCCCAGTGGTCTTCCACTTCCCACTGCATCCTCGGGGATGGACATGGCTGCCTATGCCTGCTTTTCTGCAGCCCAACATGCCCTATGCCTGCCTACTACACATGCTTCTCATCCTGCAAGATTCTCCCTCCCTGCGGCCTTCCTGAGCTCCCCAAGCTGGGTCCTAACAGTTCTGACACTGGAGTGAGAGATGGTTAGTGCAGGGCTCAACATCCAGGTCCTCATTTCAGTGACAGCTCTGCCTGGCACCCAGTGGAGGCTTCAAGACCAGTTCTGAATAGCAGCAACCTGCAGTGTCCTTTCCCTTCTATACAATACAGTTGTCACAGAATCTGTGACCCACCACCTGCAGGCCCTACACCTCTCGCCGAAACCAGCTCATGCTGGTTGAGATCATCTGAGCTTACCTAGCTGGCCCCAGGCTCTGCATCGCCCAGCTCTGGGCTGAGAGAAAGCAGGTGTGTGAGCTGCCTGGTGGGGGGCATAGTGAGGCCTTACCTCCGGGAGGGCAGCCGGCGCCGCATCCGGTAGCAGTCCAGCACCCACTCTTTCCGCACAATACGGCCTCCGAGGCCCAGGACCTGGCTGTACTTGGGAGTGTTGGCAAAGGCACAGCTGGGGGGTGCAATATAGGGATGTCAGACGTGATCTGACCAACAAATGGGACAGGGTGAGAGAGATATGGGGCTAAGGGAAGAAGGCAGAAAGCAGAGAGAGCCAGGCAGCCTCCAGAGAACTAAGGAGGCAAAGGCAGACAGACAGAGACAGAAGGAAGCAGGGAGGGAAAGGGGGTGGCGCTACAGGGACAGAATGAAAGCAAGAGGGCGCGCAGGGCAGCACAGGGAATGGGTGGGTAGCACGGAGGGACAGAGGCCTACATGAGATGTGTGCTGTCCGGAGTCCAGTCTGGCCGATACTTGGCCCCCAGCTCCAGGGCTTTGTCCCGCAGCTCTGAGCGGAAGGGGTTCTGGAAGCCACTGAGCACCACCACCACACCCTGCAGAATCTTCCCCAGCTCCTGGGGGCCAGCTCGGGCTACCCTGGGCTCAGAGCTTTCTCCCTGGGGCTTCCCTGGGACCGCCTTCTGTGCTGGGGCAGAGGCTGGGGCTCCAGCTGGGGAGCGACTAGGAATAGGCACTGTGGAGTCAAAGAAGAGAAGTTCAGTGGTATCCCTAGGGCTGTGCACCCAGCACCAGCTCCCCACTGCCCTTCTTAGATGGCGGGGTCAAGACCCCCAGTCCTTCCCTTTTGACACACAAGCCTGGGTCTCTGCAGAATTAAGGAACCCAGATTGCTTACATTTGGGTCTCTTGAGGGCAGGTGGCCCTGCTGAAGGTTTGCTGGGAGGCTTCCTGTCTTCTAGGTTCAAGTCCAGTTTCCTCTTCCCTTTGGGAGACTTCTGAGGTTGAGGAGGCAGGGATGGGCTGAGGTTTCCAGCTTCTCTCATTCCCCATACCCCAGTGTCTGATGACTTCACCTTGGAAGAGCTACCCAAAGCCTTGGAGACTGGAGAGGCCGAGGAGCCTGCGTTTGAGGCCTGCAGTGTAGCTGCTGCATAGCTGGGTCCCGCTGGGTCGCTAGCAGAGGCTATAGAGGGAGACAGTGAGCTGAGGATAAGAAGGCAGGGGCAAGGACACTCCAGCACGTCTCACCAGGTATCCTGTCACTCCCACACCCAGAGGGGACCCAGGGTCTAGACCCTCCTCCTTAGACCCAGCAGGCCAGGCTCCAGCTTTCCTCCCTGGACAGCATCACCCCAGACCCAGGAATCTAGCCAAACCCCCCAGCATTTAGGCTTCCTTTTGTTAAGACCAGTCAGGTATCATTCAGTCTATGCTGAACTCAAACTTTCTTCCTACCCGAGGAGGACCTCCTGCCTCATCTCCCCTGTGCTGAAGCCAGGGCTCCATGCTAAGTGAACACTTTGTCAGCTCCAGCCCCACACACACCTGAAGATGTCTTGTTGATGCGACTGAAGAAGAGAGCCCCTGGTTTTAGGGAATTGGCACTGTCATCCTCCTCTTTCACACGGAACTGGCCGAGCTTGGTCACTGTCACCTTCTAAGGTTCCGCAAGGTCAGTGCTGTGGGAAAGGTGCTGGCGGGCAGGGGTGGAGAGGCGGGGAGAAGGTTCTGGGGGTGACAGGTGCTGCTTACCTGGGATGGAGCCTCCACCTCCTCTTTGTCTGGAGGGCTGTGAAACCTCACAAAACTCAGGCCATAGGGTGAGTCCTGGAATGGGAAGTTTCTGGGTAGGACAGACCTAGGCTCTCATGTCCCTTCAAGGAGGGAAGCCCTTGCTAGCTCAGCTGTAGCAGGTGCCCAGGGAGGCGACCGTGATGATAACATTAAACCTCCCTGCGCCCTAACTGTGGACAAGATCAGGGCTCAGCCCTCGACCTGCACTGACTCTTTCACCTTCACTGTAAATGGAAGTCAGGTTGTGGGCAGCAAGTCCACTTCCACGTGCTCTATCTCTGTCTGGAGCCAGTTCTGGAATGCAGAACTAGAAGGGAGGCACCTGAGTTCCGGGCCTCAGTGGGATGGAGACAGAGATTAAACACTAATGGGCCTCCATTCACCCTCTAACACTCCCTCCAGAGAACTAAACTAAGCTGCTTGTCACTGAAGGATCTCAAACCCACTGCTGGGAACACAGAGATCACAATCCGACAGGGGCAGCAGCTGTCCACTACTCCCAGCTCTCCAGACTCAAGACGGGCCCCTCAGCACCCCCTTCCCTGGACCGTTTCTCTGCTTCCGCACTAAGGTACCTTGCTGTATGGCTGGCTGCACACAATTTTAACACGATCCCAGCGCTTCTCTGCTGCAGCCCGGACTAACTTGTCAGGTCCAAAGAAACGAACGCGGTTGGGATTTGAACCACTTCGACTCTCAGAAGGGGACATGAAAGAGGAGGTGACCAGAAGGACCTAGGTAGGAGACAACATAATGAGTGAGGAACAGAGCTAGATGACAATACAGAGGACCACATGCCCTAAGGAATCCCAGCAGAAGAGTCTCAGTGAGAGGCACAGGATTCAAACGAGTCAGCTCAAAGGCCGGGAGAATTACAGGATGCCAAAAATAAGAGACCCAAATCCCAAGATGGAGAGAGCAGCGTCAATTATTAAGTGATGCTTCCCTGCCCACACCACAGGCAGGGGTGGCCCTGTGCAGTCAGCTTGGGTGGCAAAGCATCTCTGAGGACCAGCTGTGCCTTACTTACTAGGATCTGCCAAGAGGGGGAGCTAGAGATGCTGCAAGCTGCAGGTGATGGGCGGTCTACTCCAGATCCTTAAGCCACACCAGACAGTTTGCAGCATCCTACACTAACCCCTCTCTCGGTGACACACCTGCTCTTTAGGATGTGTTTCAGCCCCATGACCCCTCTACACCGTGACAGACGTGTCCATCCTTCCAACATGCCTTCTATTCCTCACTCCAGGGGTGACAGCTGCCTGCCTTTTCTTCACCAGACCCCAATCTTAGAGTAACAGTTGGTAACTACATTCTTTTTTTTTTTTTTTTTTTTTTTTTTTTTTTGATTTTTCGAGACAGGGTTTCTCCATAGCTTTTGGTTCCTGTCCTGGAACTAGCTCTTGTAGACCAGGCTGGCCTCGAACTCACAGAGATCCGCCTGTCTCTGCCTCCCGAGTGCTGGGATTAAAGGCGTGCGCCACCACCGCCCGGCTGGTAACTACATTCTTATATTAAATTCTGTCCACAAAAATAATAGGCATGCTCCAAAACCACAGAGAAACCCTGTCTCGAAAAACCAAAAAAAAAAAAAAAAAAAAAATAATAGGCATGGTCTCTGGCTCCAGGTCATGGCAGGGCCACCACAGAGGCAAGAACGTGGGTAGCCCCATCTGAACTACTTCGTGAAACCTTGTTTTGAAAAATAAACAAGCCAAGTTGGGCAATGGCGGTATACACCTTTAATCCTAGTACTTAGGAGGCAGAGGCAGGGGGAATCTCTGAGTCTGAGGCCAGCCTGGTCTACAGAGTGGGTTCCAGGAGAGCCAAAGCTACAAACACAGAGCAACCCGGTCCCAAAAAACAAACAAACTCAGAGTTCAAGGAAATAAATGCTGATACAGACAGCAGATGAAGGAACAAATGACAATCAAAATTGGCCAACTAGGTCTGGACAAAGAGAGAGCTATGTGCCCAACACAATGGACTAAATCCAGATTGGTCCAAGCAAGCCCATCCTTCTGAAAATGGCTGGACCATGATACAGCTCTGACCAATCAGACAGAACACAAAGGCTGCTCAGGGGTTCTGGGAAAGACTTTTCTTCCCTTCTTAAAGAGAGGGGAGAGCCAGGTGTGTGTGTGGGGGGGGGGGGCGCAGCCCTGTAATTCTAGTACAAGAGGCTGAGGTAAGAAGCTCACAAGCTCAAGAAGGTCTGAGGGACACAGTGAGAGAGGAGGGGGAGGGTGCGGCTCAGCTGGTGTTTGCCTCAGACAGGCAGCTGGAGTTAAATCACTTGTACAGCATAAAACTGGATGTGGTCCTAAACACTTGTAATCTGAAGTGGAGGCAGGAGGTTCAGAGGGCAAGGTCACCCTTAAACATAGCTAGGTTCAAAGTCAGCGAAGGAGCGGGTTGGGGAGCCAGGAGTGGTGACATACTCCCTAACCCGCACTTGGGGTGTTGGCAGCAGGTCAGTGTGCAAGGCCAGGCTTAATAACATAGTAAGTTTGGGACAAACCTGAGCTACATAAAATCTTTTCTCAAAAAAAATCACAGGGAGCAGGCGGATCTCTGGGAGTTCAAGGCCAGCCTGGTCTACAAGAGCTAGTTCCTGGACGGGCACCAAAGCTACAGAGAAACCCTGTCTCGAAAAAAACAAAAACAAAACAAACAAAAAAAAAAAATCACAGGGAGGGGCAGAGGATGCAGGGAGGGGGAAGAGGGAAGAGGCATAAAGGGGAGGGGGAGGCCAATCCAGGGGATGAGAGCCACAGTATTTCTTCCATGCCACTTCCTATACTAGCTACTGCCAAAGCTACTAATGCTGGATGGAGTGATGTCACTTCTGACAACTGGGCCAAACCCAAAAGAAAGCTGTCAATCAAGGCCCCTCCAGAAAACTGTCAGATAGAAGCTGGGTCTACATGAGATCCTATCTTTAAAAAAAGGAGGGGAGTCTCTATTTGTAGCAGGCACAACTCTTGTGGGATATTTTGATCACATTCTGACGCCTCTAAGGCTGCTAATTAATAAAAATCTGCTTTGAATTAGAGGGTGGAGCTACCAGCTGACCAAAGTTAACCATAGTAGTTTTGGAAGATTGAAGACAGATAGAGACAGGAACTAGTAGGGTAGGGCTAAGAGAGGGTCTTGGCTACTTTTGGATGAAGAAATAAGAGAGAGAGAGGAGGTCACTGGTTGCTTCTGCGCTATGTCTCTGATCATTTAGGTTCTTTTACCTGGATATATGACTCCCAAGTTTCTATTGTTAAAGAATAATTAGATAAATACATCACACACCTGTCTATGTAGTCTGTGCAGTAAAGACCAAGGCTGGTATAATCTGAACTCTCAAGTCCCAGAACCCCTCCCACCTTCCCCCCAATCCCCCCCGACACACTAATTTTCATGGAAAGAAAACATCTTGTAGAAACTGGCTTAGACTTGTCAATTCTATCAGGGCAAGTTTAATTTTTACTTTCATTTCACTAGTAAACCAGTAAGCTAATACTCTGAGCTATACTGAATTCCACCAGTCAAAACAGGACCTGTGAGGCTTGGTGGACTGGACCCTACAGTCCCAGCTGAGGGAGGCTGAGACAGGGGAACTGCCGGGGCAAAAGGAGAGACCCATCTCAAATAAGTAAAAAGTTAAAGAATCAATCACAAAGAACTATATTCTGCCTCAAATAGACAGGCTACCAGTGGTGATGGACATTGTGGAGCCTCAGTTCCCAGGCCACCTGTGAGAGTCTTGGCAACCTGACAAAAGCAGCTTCATGCTCAGGCTGCAGCTAGATTTTACAACCAGAGAGCCTCTTGCTGCTATTCACCCTGGCAGCCCGGCTCTTCCCCGACGATCAGCCCCACACCCTGTGCTTACTACCTCCTCAGCACCTGGGACCCTCCAGAAGGTTGGCTGGGTGGCTCCCCCACCCTCGAGTAAGCACGGGGGACAGTGATGGAGATATGGGGACGTCTTCGTCTCCCAGCCCTGCTTACCTCATAGTCCTGTTCACCAGCTGTGGCTCCTCCCGCCGAGCTGCCCACCAGCACCTCTACAAAGGCTGAGCCATCGTTCCCAATGTCTATGCTGTGTATCTGCTCCTCCTTCTCCAACTGTGGGGCAGAGAAAGGCCACCATGAGTTCCGCCCTGGCCTGCTTTGGAACAGGGGACAGAAAGAGATGATATCCACCTGGGCTACCATGTGCCCTGGAATGTCACCTACGTGTCAGTAGGGACCAGAAGTGAGCAGCGTCATTAAGTCTCTGACAGGCAGTCTGGGACAGGGCATGGAGCAGAATTCACTGAATGAATGCTCACACCCCACCCACACCATACACTTGCTTCACCAACACATCTCCATACCCCCACCTCGACCACTGCCTGCCATGTAGCTCTCCTCGGTGGCAATAGCCAAAGGTATAGCTGGGTTGTCATACAAAGGACACATAGAGGTTCCTGGACAAACTGATGCAGGCCAGAGGCTCCTTGGGTTCTGCTCGTCACCAAGCCCTACCCTGGAATCCTAGCTATGTGCCCTTGTTTCCTCTATAAACTGAGGGCTCCTCAAGTCAAGGATCTGCCATAGAACTAACTCTTTGGAGGTCACAGCACACAGTAGGCACCAGCGGCTGTCAGCCAGGCATTGTTTTAATATTGGTGACTCCTGTGACCTTACCTTTACTGGAAAAGCTCTGGAGGGTTTGGTGTCGCACTTAGGTCCAGCAGGAGAATCAGTTTGTTTGTTTTTGGAGGTTCTTCTTGTTGTTTTGTTTTTTTGAGACAGGGTTTCTCTGTGTAGTCCTGCTATCCAGGAACTCCCTCTGTAGACCAGGTTGGCCTTTAACTCACAGATCACCTGCCTCTGCCTCCTGGGGTAAAAGGTGTGCACCATCTTTGCCCAGCAGATGACTCTTTAAAGTGCAGAAAAGTCAGCCAGGACTGGCGCCATTTTTCTGAGATAGCCTGAAGGTTGCCATCCAGGTCAAACATGAGGCTGTCGTTTTCCTTTTTTAAAAGTTTATTTTATCACATGTGTATGAGCAATTTGCCTGGATGTAGTCTCTGTACCATGTGCTTTCCTAGTCCCTGCAGAGGCCTGGAATGGGTGTCAGATCCTCTGGAACTGGAGTTAGATAGTTGGGAGCTGCCATCTGGGTGCGTAATCAAACCCTGGCCCTCTAAAAGAACAAGTGCCAGGCGGTGGTGCGCGCCTTTAATCCCAGCACTCTGGAGGCAAAGGCGGGAGGGACTCTGAGTTCAAGGCCAACCTGCACTACAGAGCAAGTTCCAGGACAGTCAGGGTTTTTTTTTTTTTGGTTTTTCCGAGACAGGGTTTCTCTGTAGCTTTGGAGCCTGTCCTGAAACTCCCTTTGTAGACCAGGCTGGCCTCGAACTCACAAAGATCCGCCTGCCTCTGCCTCCCGAGTGCTGGGATTAAAGGCGTGCGCCACCACCGCCCAGTCAGGGTTGTTACACAGAAAAACCCTGTCTTAAAAAACAAAACAAACAAAAACAAAACAAAACCAACTTGCTGATCTGTTTCCATTTTCTGTAGTAGTCCAAGCTACACAAACCCAAAAGCTGAGATAACAAGCGTGGGCTACAGCAGCTCCATTTTCACATGCTAATTTTTAGTTTTCTTTCAGTGTGTGTGTTGGGGGTGGGGATGGGGGACACGACAGACAGGGTCTCATTTTGTAGCCCAAGCACACCTTGGACTTGTGGGGATCCCCCTGGTTCTGCCTCCCAGGTGCTGGAGTTGCAGGTAGGAGCCACTCTGCCTGGCCTGTTTCCTTTGACTGGAGCGGTTTTGTCAGGTGCTGGCCTAGAAAAGCCCCAGGCTTTCTACTGAATCTGTTATCTAGGAGCAGGAGCATTACTGGATACTCATTATTCACTGACAGAAAGCTGTTTATGAAGACTCTCACCAAAGGACCTGCGGCTCTGGCCCGAAGGCTGCAGGCACAGAAAGGTGTGGGGTGTAGGCAGGCAGGATAGACAACGGGAAGTCTCCTGCTGTTCCGTCTGAGGTCTTTTAAAGGTCCTAGGATGAAGACTTAAGCCGGGCGATGGTGGCGCACGCCTTTAATCCCAGCACTCGGGAGGCAGAGGTAGGCGGATCTCTGTGAGTTCGAGACCAGCCTGGTCTACAGAGCTAGTTCCAGGACAGGCTCCAAAGCCACAGAGAAACCCTGTCTCGAAAAACCAAAAAAAAAAAAAGACGGCCCTCAAAGGTGCCTAGTCTTGGGCTTCGGACGTAGTCCAGTTGGTGGAGTGTTTGCCTAGGATGCAGGAACCCTGAGTTCAAGCCCCAGTAACGCATAAACAGACATGGTGGAGCATGTCTGTAATTTCAGTACTCTGCGTGTTGAGTCGCTGAAATGAGAAAACATTTGCTCACTCCTACCCGACCTCAGGCGAACACTGAGGTCAGCCTGACCGGCAGGTATACACAGCGCTCTACGGGAACCAGAACTCCCGCGCCATCACTCTGTGTGGTGACACTGCTGTGCCGTAATCATATTAAAGTACACATCCTGTCACGCTTGCTAGCAGCCATCACAGCCCATGTTAACGGATGGCTTTACCTTTACAATGCCCTGCTCACTCAGCTTGGAGCCTCTTAGACATGTGATCACGGGAGTGCGTGCTCCCAGCCAGAACTCTGTGGCTCAGTAAAAACTTCAAACTCATAAAGAGTTCATCCTGCTCTCCTTCCCTCAGGTGAGAACTTCCCGAAGAGGATCAGAAGTTCAAGGTCAGGGCTGCAGAGATGGCTCAATTGCCAGAGCTCCTCAAACCCACAGGAAGTTCATAACCTCATGTAACCCTAGGTCCCCAGGGACCTGATGCCTCTGCAGGCACCTGCACTAAATGCACCTACCCCTCAGACACATACTTAAAAATAAAGCCAATCTTTTTTGACTACCTATCTACTGCCATCTGCCCTGACCTCCTCTGCCATTCTAAACCAGGTACTGTTTCTGAGGAGTGTCCTCAGTTGAAAAGGGGGAGTCGTGGTAATAGATAGAAAGCTTTCCTATAGAAAGCTAAGATGCGGGGCTGGAGAGATGGCTCAGTGGTTGGGAGCATTGCCTGCTCTTCCAAAGGTCATGAGTTCAATTCCCAGCAACCACATGGTGGCTCACAACCATCTGTAATGAGATCTGCTGCCCTCTTCTGGTCTGCAGACACACAGAGATAGAATATTGTATACATAATAAATAAATAAATAAATAAATAAATAAATAAATATATATATAAAAAAAAAAGAAAGCTAAGATGCCCCAAAACAAAACCAAGGCCAGCTGGGCCTTCAAGCGCAGCTACTTGGGAGGTGAATCCAGAGTTCGAGGCCTGCCTGGGCCACAGAGTGCGTTCAAGAACAGATGGGGTAACTTAGCAAGGCCATGTTTCAGAGAGCAGAGCTGGGATGTGGGTCAATGGCGAAGTGTTTGTCTAGCCTGCACAGGGCCCTGGGCCCAATACTCAGCACCACATAAGACAACAAAGTAGAACTGAGTGCTCACGTCATTAACAGTGGAAACAATGCAAAACCTACTCTTCCACCAGGGCTGCCAGTGCAGGTGCTGCAATCGCCTCCTTTTCACAGGCGAGCAGCCTTGAGCAGGAAGTGGTTGTACCACAGCTGAGTTTTGAATACTCAGCTGTCTTGTGCTCCCCAGCTTCAGCAATGATTCATTTAATATCCTTCTTTCACTTCCTCCAATTCTTCCTTGTGCCAGGATCCCTGGATCTATGCTAAGAATCTAAACAGTGCAAATATTCTAGGCTGAGCCACACCCCAGCCCCTCACTGGGGGATTCTAGGCAGGGGCTCTACCACTGAGTCACACCCCCAGCCCCTCACTGGGGGATTCTAGGCAGGGGCTCTACCACTGAGCCACACCCCCAGCCCCTCACTGGGGGATTCTAGGCAGGGGCTCTACCACTGAGCCACACACCCTCAGTCCTCACTGGGGGATTCTAGGCAGGGGCTCTACCACTGAGCCACACCCCCAGCCCCTCACTGGGGGATTCTAAGTAGGGGCTCTACCACTGAGCCACACCCCCAGCCCCTCACAGGGGGATTCTAGGCAGGGGCTCTACCACTGAGCCACACCCCAGCCCCTCACTGGGGATTCTAGGCAGGGGCTCTACCACTGGGCCACGCCCCAGCCCCTCACTGGGGGATTCTAGGCAGGGGCTCCACCACTGGGCCACGCCCCAGCCACTCACTGGGAGATTCTAGGTAGAGGCAAAGTGATCTATCACTCAGCCACATTCCTAAACTGGCCCAAGTTTTTTTTTATTTAATTTATAAAGATTTATTTATTTATTGTGTATACAGTATTCTGCCTGCATGCATGCCTGCAGGCCAGAAGAGGGCACCAGACCTCATTACAGATGGCTGTGAGCCACCATGTAGTTGCTGGGAATTGAACTCAGGACCTTTGGAAGAGCAGGCAATGCTCTTAACCTCTGAGCCATCTCTCCAGCCTCCCAATAAGTAAATCTTAAGAAATAAAAGAATTAAAAAGTTTTAAATATGGAAAAAACACAACAAGTGTAGTAGCTCATGACTGAACTCCCAGCACTTGTAATGCGAAAGCTCAGAGTTGGAGGTCAGCCTGGGCTATACAATGAGACCCTGTCTCAAACAATTACAAAACAAAGCAAGCATGATGTGTTCCAGCGTGCCATTGACACTCAAGTGATACTCCAGTATTCCAACTGGACCTGTCCCAGCACCCCCTCCAGGACAGGCGCGGTCGGCAAAGAGACTGAACTCCCTGGCTGGAAGCAGGTGGCCAGCTGGGCACTGAGTAGCCACAGCTGACAAAAGAGGTGTGTGGAGCTGACACAAGGCGAAGGCTGAACTCTGTGTTGCAATACCAATGTTGTGTAAGAGTGCTCAGAGAACACCCAGGGAAGTAGGAGAGCACACAAGGCTCTATTGTCTTCTCCCTTGTCCCTGCAAAGGAACTAGAGCCAGCACTGGAAGAACTCAGAGTTACCCACGAACTGGCAAGTGCTAAGTGCAATCCAATTTTCCCAGGGGTCTCTGACGTGATGGAATCTAACCTCTTGTTTATCCCCTCTCATTTATTCTCAACAGGGAACAAAGAGCCTGTGCATACCTAAGTTGGATCCTTTCTTCTGCAGAGGCCCTGGTGGCTCCCATCTCAAACAGCCCTTTCCTACTACCCTCCCCCATCAGCTCTGGTCCTATTCTGTTCACTGGCCTCCTTGGCCTATCTCTCATGTGCCAGATGGACGCAGCCTGCTGACCTATCTATCCCCTCCCTGTGGATGCACGGCCTCCTCTGCTCAAAGTCCCCAGACTCCAGAAATGGCTCAGTGAGCAAAGATGCTGGTCTGACCACCCACAGCGCAAGGAAAGAAGTGGCTCCTGCAAGGTGTCCTCTGCCCTCTACAAATGTATACATGTGCAGAGGTGTGCACACACTCGTGTGCGCATACACACACATATTAAATAAATGTAGTTTTAAACAGAAAGGTTCACACCTTTAATCCCAGCACTCTGGAGGCAGAGGTGAATTCTATGAGTTGGAGGCTAGCCTGGTCTACATAACAAGTATCAGGACACTCTGTAGAGTGACCCTATCTCAAAAATGTGAAAATAAATATTATTTTTTGTTTTGTTGAGCCACCAGTGGTTAGCCAGGCAGTGGTGAAGCAAACCTTTAATCCCAGCACTTGAGAGGCAGAGCAGGCGGATCTCTGTGAGTTCGAGGCCAGCCTGGTCTACAGAGCAAGTTCTAGGACAGCCAGGAATACAGAGAAACTCTGTCTCAGGAGAAAAAAAAAGTTACCATTGGGGCTGGAGATGGCTCAGTGGTTAACAGCATTTACTGTTTGGTTCCCAGCACCCACATGGTCTATAACCATCCCTAACTCTGCTTCCAGGGGATCCAATGCGTTCTTCTTCGTTTTTTTTTTCCTCTCCAAAGACAGCATTTCTCTGTAGCTTTGGAGCCTGCCCCAGAACTAGCTCTTGTAGACCAGGTTGGCCTTGAACTCACAGAGATCCATTCTGCCTCCTGAGTGCTGGGATTAAAGGCCTGAGCCACCAACGCCAGGCCTGACCTTGAATTTCTGACCCTCCCAAGTATTGGGCTGACAGGTGCGTCCAATTTATGAGGTGACAGGGTCCAAACTCAGGGCCTGGAGTGTAATAGGCAAGCTCTCCTCCAGCCCTTCACACCCAGGCCTTGCAGTACACTAGGCAGGCTCTCCAGGCCAGCGACCGCGAAGGCTCCAGGTGTGAACACGTTCATCACATACTGCCCACCGCTGGACAGACCCAGCACCGCAGTGTCGACTACGGAAAGCTCCTAACACACACCTGTGGAATAAGTGAATGAGTGAACAAATGATGCTACACTCGATCTCAGCCAAAAGCTGAGAAGTGATGAGCCACTCCAAGCACCAACATCTACACCTCTGTCTCGGGTCCCAGTAGGACTTCTAGTTGCCGCCCAAATTTTCTTTTACATTTAATTATGATTTATATGGGTATTTTGCCTGCATGTATGTCTGTGCACCACGTGCCTCTGGAGGAGCATCTCTCCAGCTGGACACTCATTTCTTTAAAGCACGCGAGCCGAGTGATGTGGAGGTCAGAGGACAACCTTTGTCAGTCAGTTCTCTCCCCACCAAGTGGGGTCCACTGAGCCATCAAGGGAGCCTCTTAGAACTCCCAAAGTCATGCCCCAAAGAAAACACATGCTCTTCCCAAGCTGCTCCCACTCTGGGTTCTGCCTCAGTCTTTCCCAAACAGTCCTGCGCTTGACCTGACTCCCTAGCTCTCCTTCCTGTCCCTTCTGCCTCAGTCTTTCCCAAACAGTCCTGCGCTTGACCTGACTCCCTAGCTCTCCTTCCTGTCTCTTCTGCCTCCAGTCTTTCAGTTCCCACCAAGCGCTCTTACAGAACTGAACATCATTTCCTGGAGAGGGGAGTGAGGGGGGTGTCACCTGATCGTAAGCAGCCCGAGGAATCACTATCCCATAATGAAACCACCAGTCCCTCCCTTTATATCAACTCCCACATGTTGACAGAAGACTTCTGCAGACATTATGTCACCAGGTTTTACAGTCACCCCAGCCTTGGGTGTCTTTATTCTCAATGGGTACATTTGGAGAGATGAAAAACATTTGCCTGAGGTTGGAGTGAGTAAGAGGGAGAGCTAGGATTTGAATCCAGATCCCAAAATAAATAGTAAGCAACCTGGTTCTCACACAGTTTAAAGGACAGGCTCTCGGTTGCATAATTTTTGCCAGGCCTCAGTTTCTTTATCTGTAAAATGGGGATAATGACAGTCTGTAGGTCATGAGGCTTTACGAGGACGGAATGAATCAAGCCATGTGAGGTGTGTAGGCTGCTGACTGGCAAGTTATAATGGTGCATGACATTAGTTCTTATTACCAGTCTCTGGTGAGGGATTTAAGAGATGGTTAAATCTAACACTGGCCAGGAAATGTCACGGATCTATGTTTGTTTAAACTTCTCTATAATCCTCAAAAGGCTTTGTAAGTCAGAACTGCTAAGCAAAGAGGCCACAAATACACTCAGTGTTAGTGACAGTCTGGTAAGCCTGTGCCCACCAAAGTCCTTCACCTAGTGTCCCTCGACTCAGAAGGGAGGAATGTGTGTGAGCTGGGCACAGCAGCTGTGGTGAAAGCTGGGGGCTGTAGCTCAGCAGTGCACACAGAAACAACACAGACCGACAAAACTGTCAGAAGCACGACACTCAAGAGTGGGCTGCCTTAGCTGTCAGCCACGACACTAGGATAAGACACACGGCCACCACACAAGTGGCAACGGGCAGGTGCTTAAGAGCATCTAATTCTCTTCTCCCAACAACTTTTTTAAGATTATTTTTATCAGCCAGGCGGCGGGGGCGCAAACCTTTAATTACAGCATTCAGAAGGCAGAGGCAAACGGATCTCTGTGAGTTAGAGGCCAGTGTGGTCTACAGATTGAGTTCCAGGACAGTCAGGGCTGTTACACAGAGAAACCCTGTCTTGAAAAACAAAATGAGAAAAAAAATTATTTTTACCGTTTTTAATATGTGTATGGAAGGAAGGTGTGTCCCCAGAGGCTAGCGATATCAGGTCCTCTGGAGCTGGATTTACAGGCTGTCGTGAATCACCAGTGGGTGCTAAACTGAACTCAGTCCTCAGGAGAGCAGTTTGTGTTCTCAGCCGTCGCGTCAGCTCGCTAGTGCCTTCCTCAAATTTCATGTTCCTTTCAAAAACTTTTTTTTTTTTTTTTTTTTTTTTTGGTCATTTGAGACAGGGTTTCTCTGTGCAATCCTGGCACTGTTCTGGAACTCACTCTGTAGACCAGGCTGGCCTCAAACTCAAGAGACTGGTCTGCCTCTGTCTCCTGGGTATTAAGATTAAAGACATGAGCCATCACGCCCAGTTTTAGAAACAGACTCTTAGGCCAAACAAACATTACCATGTCTTGATCCCGGTACTTGAGAAGCAGTGGGGAGGGGAGTGTTGGGAGTTTGAGACCAGCCTGTGTCACACAGTGAGCCCATCTTTAAAACGTCACACATGCTCCACACCCTCCCCAAGGAAAAGAAAAAAAGAAAGAGTCTCCAAACCTGCAGAGCTGTGGTTTGGTTTCAACGAGAACATTATAAAACACACTCAAAGACCAGGTGTGGGGATCGGGACATCATGAGTTTCAGGTTAGGGGAGAGACTGGTGGCCAGAGATAGACTCAGAGAACCAGAACCCACACAGTAGGAGGAGAAAAACAACTCCCACAATTGTCCTCTGACCTCCACAGGCATGATACCATGGGACTTGTGTGCTCATACACATGCACACAAAAGAAACAGAAATACAAATTTTAAAAAAAAAGCAGTCAGAAAGAATAAATTTAGTCAGTCAGTGGTGATGCATTCCTTTTATCCCAGCACTCAAGAGGCAGAGAGAAGTGGATCTCTGTGAGTTGGAGTCCAGTCTGGTCTACAGAACAAGGTGAAAGAAAGCCGAGTGGTTGTGGCTCACACCTTAATCCCAGCACTCAGGAGGCAGAGGCAGGCAGATCTCTGAATCTGAGGCCAGCTTGGCCTATTGAGTGAGTTCTAGGACAGCCTGGACTCTTTAGGGAGACCCTGTATCAAAACCAAAACAAGCCGGGCGGTGGTGGCACACGCCTTTAATCCCAGCACTCGGGAGGCAGAGGCAGGCGGATCTCTGTGAGTTCGAGGCCAGCCTGGTCTACAAGAGCTAGTTCCAGGACAGGAACCAAAAGCTACGGAGAAACCCTGTCTCGAAAAATCAAAAAAAAAAAAAAAAAAACAAAAAACAAAAAAAAAACTGAGCAGTCAAACCAAAAAGCCAGTCAGCTGGCTTGCTTCATTCACTTACTAATTTCATGGTACTAGGGATGTAATCAAGGGTCTCACGTGTTCCAGGCAAGCTGAGCTGCATTCCTAATCCTTTTGCTAGTAGTCCCTATGATGCTAACTACTTTTTATTTTTGAGACAGATTCAAAGTTGTCCAGGTTGACCTTGAAGCTAGTGATCCTCCTGTCTAGACTTCCCAAGCAACTGGGATCCCAGGCCTGAGCCATCAGCTCCTTCAACTTTGCCCTCATTGTAATGAAACTGATTTACGTAGACACCCTTCGTGGTCCTGCCGGCACAAGAAACATAGTAAAGACCAACACTGTCCCAGCTGAGGAAACTGAGGCCCAGAGGTAGAATCAACCTACTCAGGAGCACCCACTGACTCCTGGTCATCTCTGGGCTTGGACTCTTCTTCCTCTGCCGAGGGGGCACTGGGGGGATTTCAACTTGTCCACTTTCCAGGCTGTTGAGCAAGCACTTTCTCTACCATGGAAGAGAAAACGACTCAACCTACAGCCAGCTGGCTCGGGAATGAGACCTGGGGACACACAGCCCTGGGAGGAGGAGGTGGGAAAGGGCAGCATCACCTGTAGGACCACAGAGATGGTCTTCTCGCCTGCCTTGGCTGCGCGCCACTTCCGGTAAGTGTCGGCCTTGAGAAGGTTTTCTGCACAATGGGTCTGCAGACAAGAGTAGAAACGTGGAGATTCGTTAAAAAAGGCTTATTTGAAAAAATAAAATAATTTGCCGGGCGGTGGGGGCGCACACCTTTAGCCCCAACACTCAGGAGGCAGAGGCAGGAGGATCTCTGTGTGTTCTACAGAGCGAGTTCCAGGCCAGCCAGGGCTACACAGAGAAACCCTTTCTCGAAAAACAAAAACAGAAAAAGAGAAATAGAAATAAATAATAAAAGTAAAGTAGTTGTCGAAAAGCTAGCCGACTCTCCACACTTAACTTCCTGCTAGTCTCCCCACTACTGACACACCTTGCCCGAGTTTTCCTCAGTTTCTCCCGCTAGAAGTTGCCCAGAACCCCGTTTTTCCTTACTTCTCCGGGACTTCCACAGTGGCCCCAAACTTGCCCCTGCCTGCCCATCTCCCCCGGATGCAAGTCCAGCCTCCACCCCGCATCCCACTCGGAATGCCACCGCACTTGCCAAGACCTCAGCCTCCCTCAGAAAACCCCCTGTCTTCCCGCCGCTCCCACGTCAGCCCCTCACCGAGTCCTGGCTGCTGCAGGACACGACGTGGCGGAGGCTGATCTCCGGCATGTCCACAACCGTGGACGTGCTACCGACTACAGAACGAAGAAGGGTTCCTTCCAGCAGAGGGGCCCCGGGAGAAGCTTGAGGGTCGAGCGCGCCCTACACGGGACTCAGTGCGCAAGCGCGCGAGGCTCGGGCCTTTCAAACTGCGGCGCGCCGCGGCGCGCGTCGACACTGCGCATGCTCCGATGGACTTCGCCAAAGCGAGGCTCCGGGTCCCCTTAGCAACAAGCTTTTCCTCCGGCCCCGCCTCTCTCTGATCCCACCACTCTCAGGCCTCGCTTCTCGATGACGTAGGGACCTGGCTTTCTGGGAGCCTAGCAACAGGAGCGGCATCAGTGATTGGGTCTTACGTGAAACTTGCTCTGCTCATTGGACCGTGCGGTTACTAACCAAACCGAAGCCTTAGAAACGCCGGGACTTGCTGAGAGTTTCCCAGAGGCTGCATCCTGCTTGCAATATGATCCCTTCCACCTGTTGTTGCGGACACGCTCTGTTTCCCTTCTCGCTCAAAACACAGACAGAAAGACAGACGGACGCGCGCGCACAAACATAGGCGAGCGCACCGAGACAGACAGACAGATGATAAGACGGAGATCTCAGACCTTTCTTAGCCCTTGGCCTGAGACCAAGAGAGAGGAAGAAAGATCTTAAAACACAAAACATGTTCCCAGCACACACACGCGCGCGCGCACACACACAGATAATAGGTTGCAGAGAACTCTCAGACCTATGTTAGCTCTTGATCTTACACCAAAAGCGGGAGAACAATCTTAAATACAAATTAAGCACCATCTACACGCGCTCGCGCGCACACGCTAGCACGCTCGCACAAATGCCTCGCTTTCCCAATGCTCTGTGAGCATTGGTCTCCATCCTCGCCCATCTCTGGCCGCTGACAGGCTCTCTTCTGTTCGGTCCCCTCAAGGCCCAGGGGCACATCCCTGGGAAGGGTTGGAGCTGGACACAGCTCTAATACAGAAGAGTGAGTGTGAGGGCAGGCTCACCAAAGGGAAAGGAAAAGTTGACAGGGCGTCCGGCCTCCGCAAGACGGGCCTAGACATGCTGGGCGCTCCTAGGTTAGGACCCAACCCACGCTGGGCGCCTCCTTGGGAAAAGAGAAGAGGGGGTGCCAGTCTCCGAAGTTGCCCTGCACCCTCAGGGAATCAAGTGACCCAACTCCAACCTTAGATTAAAAAAAAAGAGGGGGGGGAACATGTAAGATGTAAGTGAGCTTCTGGGTCCAGGTGGAAGAAGGCACTGGCAATCTAAAGACCTTAGGTGCCCGTGCAGAAAGGGGTTGGGTCGAAGATGTTCAGTTTTCTTATGGGATGCTGGCTCCATGACTCCAACCTGGAGGCTGTGGAGGACTGCCATGGGTTCTGACCTCAGCTATTTCTCACCCCAGGGTGAAGGTGGGACCAGACCCGCCCTTGCCCCGCTTCCTATAAGGGCAGAGGACCTGGGACTGCAGGCTCACACACCATGAGGCTGTCTAGAAGACACAGGACCTTCCTGCTGGCTTTTGCACTGCTCTGCACCCTCTTGGGTCTCGGTAAGTGACAAAGGTACCTGGCCTCCTTCCTGGGGTCTCAGGGGGCACTGGGCAAGGTTCTCAAGAGAGAGAGGCCCTGAAAAATCAGATTCATGAAGGATGGACAGGGAGTAAGGAGGAGAAAGCCTGGGTCTGAGAAGGCTTGATGGGCGTTAGGAAAAGACTCAAAACATTGCATCTGAATTCTGGGAAAATCAGATGAGAGCTGGTGATTAGAGAAAATCTTTAAAACGTAACTAATTAGTAAGGACAGATAGAAGTGTTCTTTCTGTCTGAACTTAGAAGAATTCAGGCCTTCTGCATTCCCAAGCCAGCTTCACTGTCCCTGGAACCCAGATGGCTGGGTTCCTCCTCTGTCAGCAGTGAAGTCTGGACCTCAGTCTCCTGCTTTGACTTAGGACCCAGACCTCAGAGTTAGGTACCCCTGCCTGAGTTCCCAGACTTCTGTGTTACCTTCAGGGAAGTGAGTTCACACCCTGGGAACCAGCTGGACCTGAAATTTTACAAAAGCCCCATAGAAAACTCTGCCACGACCCCTCCCTGCCTCTGAGAGTGCTCAGAGGACCCTGGCGTCCCAAGTCCCCAAGCCTTGTAATTATTTAGTAAAACAGGCTCTGTGGTGGAGTCATTTCCCGCCCTGGAAGCCACTTCGCTGGCATGGCCACCGCTTCCTCGTCAGACTCCGGACAATTGCCTGGACAGTTCTCAGTGCCGCCCCTCCCACGAAAAACCAGGAAGACCCTAGTCCCTCTTTCAAAGTCATCTCTCCTGTGAGCTCCAAAGCCCAAATCATGGTCTGAAGACCATCCCAGCCATGGCCACACACCCTGTTCTTTGCTCTCCTCGCTGCAGGGTGCCCTCTAAGCTGTGAAGTGTGTAAGGGCTCGGGACACACATGCAGCGGGAAAATGAAGACCTGTGATGCCGACAAAGACGCATGCGTGGTTCTCGTGGGCGAGTCCAGCACAAGTAGGAGGGTGTGGCTTCGGCCAAAAGGGTCGGGAGGGATGGGTACCTTCATGGAAGAAGATACTACCCCGTCTATGGGGGATGGTTACAAGGAGTTGTGGGAAGAAAGAGGTGGGAGAAATGTGGTGTGTTAGAAAACGCTATGGTCGGAGATTCTGAAACTGAGCGTGTCCTGAACAAGGGAGGATGGAGAGATGAGGCAGCAGTCAAGAGCACTGGCTGCCCTTGCAGGGGACCTCTGTTCAATTCCCAGCATGGTGGCTCACAATGGTCTATTAACTAAAATTCTAGGGTTCAGACGCCCCCATCTGGCCCCCACTGGCACTGCATACTTGTAGTGCACTTACATACAGGCAGGCTAAATACACATACACATAAAATAAAACGGGGGGGGGGGAGGGAGGGGAGGGGAGCTGCTGGGGGGAAAATGAGGGGACACAGGAAACTAGCAGGAAGTCAAGAGTCTTTTTTTTTGTTTTGTTTTGTTTTTCAAGACAGGGTTTCTCTGTGGCTTTGGAGCCTCTTTTTTTCTTTTAATGTTTTTACTTGTAATTACGTGCACGGGGAAGGCATTATGCAAGTGAGAGCAGTGCTTGCGAGGTGGGAGGTGAAGGTCAGAGTCCTTGGAGCAAAAGTTCCAGGCAGATGTGAGATACCGGATGTGAGCTGAACTCTGCTGGAAGGGCAGTTGATGCTCTTAACTGGAGGGTGGGACAGAAACCTGGAGAGCCAGGAAGGGAGACAGATGGTGTTAGGGTTAGGGGGAACAGAAAACTGACTGGAGGGGGACTGTAACCCTGAGGAATGGAGTCAATACAACTGGAGAAAGTAGAGATGTCGGGGAGGGGTGGGGAGCAGGAGGGTATTTAGTAGTCCAAGACTAACCAGCTGGGCTATAGAACAAGATCCCGACTTTAAAACAAACAAAAACAAGGGGAAGAAGTAGGTGGAAGGGAGGGAGAAAGAGGAAGTATAAGGAGGGGAGGAGGGGAGAAAGGGGAGAAAAGAAAGGGGGAGCAGAAAAGGCAAGGAAGAGGACTGGGGAGCTAGAGGAAGGAGTGGGGAGCCTCAGAAGTACAATGGGAGAGGGGACCTGGACTCAATCAAAGAGAGCACCCCAGACCTCAGAGAGGAAGAAGAGATAGAGAACAGTAGGGTGTGTTCATCCTTGGTGGAAAGAGAGCCTTAGTTCCAGGAACAAATGAGGGTCATGTCGTTGGTCTCTTTTAACGTTAAAAAGTATGTTTGTGTGTGTGTGTGTGTTTGCATATGTGTGTATGTGTGCATGTGTGTGTATGTGCATATGTGTGTATGTGCATATGTGTGTATGTGTGTGTATGTGTGTATGTGCATATGTGTGTATGTATGTGTATATGTGTATAGGTCAGAGAATAGCTTGTGGAGGAATCAATTCCCTTTCTACCACGTCGATCTCAGAGATTGAACTCAGGACGTGAGACATAGTGGCAGGCACCTTTACCCATTGAGCCATCATCTGTGAGGGCAGGGAAATACCCCTGCAGCTGCAGTGAGAGAGGAAGGTGGGCTTGAAGGCTACATTCAGCCAGGATTAGGTGACGGTGGCCAGGGAAGAACGTGGGAGGACTGGAGGACTGTAAGCCAGAAGGGAGTGAGCAGAACCAAGTGCAACAGCCAGGAGACAAGGAAGGGGTAACCAAAATGTCTGGAGTAAAGAGGGAAGAGCCTCTGGGCTGGAGAGTTCAGGATTGGGGCTATGTCGGCCATGCCCTGTAACAGGCAGGGACTGAGGGATGCTGGGAGAATCTGGCGGCCAAGTCCAGCTTTGCTATATTGAATAGGCCTTCAGCCATTTGTGGCAGGTTTGAAACTTCACAGAAGGTGGGGAAAGTCCACCTCACACAGGCACAGGGGTAGCCTCAGGCGGCTTGGGAAGGACTTGTATCCTTGGTGCATGGGTGAAGGAACCCAGTCAGACAAGCAGGGGGGCTACCTACCAGCCTCTGACACCAGGCAGATTGAGAATGTGACCTTTCTGAGCTGCTATGGGGCCAGCGAGACCTCTCAGCAGGTAGAGGGTCTGGTGTGGAGCACTGAATTTGATGCCTCATCCTGCAAGATGGTGGAAAAGAACTGACCGCTGAGAACTCTTAGCACACTCACTGGGGGCACGTGTGCACATATCTATAGACAAAATTTAATGAAAATTGGTTAGTGTGTATGTATGATCCATGGTGCTAGTCCTAGGGGACAGTCACAGAAATGAAAACCAGAAGAGATGGTGAAGAGAACACTGTAGATTGTCATCATCTGTCTCGTCTTCTCCCTTCAAAGATTCCATGGCATAGTTCTGTTTCCTTACTTACATTTTTGTTTGTTTGTTAGTTTGTTTTTGTTTTTAAGACAGGGTTTCTCTATGTAACAGCCCTAGCTGTCCTTGAACTCACTCTACAGACCAGGCTGGCCTCGAACTCACAGAGATCCACCGCCTGTGCCTCCCAAGTGTTGGGATTAAAGGCGTCTGCAGCCACCGCCTGCCCCCCCTTACATCTTTTGGAACAATTTCATGTCTTCCTTTAGTTCATTCGCCAACCCAGCTGAGCTCGAGTTCAAACGTTTTATCCCTAACTCCATCATGTACTATTTTATTTTTGCAACTTAACTACGTCACAGCAAATCATTTCTTTCCCTTGAAGATCTTCTATTTCTATCTCTGGGGCTTGCCTGGCTTTGCCAATGACTGTGTAAAAGGCCTAATGGTTCAGTCACATAGAGCTGTGTGCTGTGGTGCAAACCGTAAGACCCTACCAAGAAGCTCCAGCCCAAAGGTCCAACAGCGCTGTAACGTGTGTTTGTGTGTGTGTGTGTGTGTGTGTGTGTGTGTGCACAGCCACCCTGCCGGCAAGATGTTAAACATTATTTTATGTGTATGTGTACTTACATCTACCTGTTTGTATGTGCATGTAAGCGCAGATACCCAAGGAGGCCAGAAGAGGGCAACAGATCCCTGGAACTACAGTTGTAGACTCAGAAGTGGGAACTGGGAACCAACCTTGGGTCCTCTAGAACAGCACAAGTGCTCCTGACTCAGGAGCCATCTCTCCAGCCCTAGTTTGTGTGTATGTGTGTGTGTGAGAGAGAGAGAGAGGGGAAGAGAGAGAGAGAGAGAGAGACAAAGAGAGAGAGAGAGAGAGAGAGAGAGAGAGAAGTCCTGTTAGGGAGGTAGGTAGGGAATGGTGAGATGAGGAGGGAAGGGGAGGAAGTGGTTGATTCCTGTTCCTACTCTGCAGAGGGCCGAAAGTCAGTGAGCACCTTCAAGGCCTGCACGAAGTTTAAAGACTGCTACTCCGGCTTCGTATCTACCACCATGAGTCCCAATGACTACATGGTGTCCAACGCCCACTGCTGTCAGAGCGACGGTTGCAACAGTGTCTCGGTGCCCCGTAAGTGCCACCCCAACAACAGGATGCCTGCCCTGTGACATCTGGCAAGCCCTTGCTGCTTCAGGTGGTCCATTTCCTGACCCGCAAACTCCACCAACCCAACCCGGTGATCCCCAGGTTCCAAGGATGTTGGGGGTAACAATTCTTCCAATCTGCTTTATACTCCATCATTCACAGTTCCCCATAACAATCGAACGGAGAACGGCCTGATGTGTCCCTCCTGCATTGTGCCCTTCCAAGAGACGTGTCCAGGAACCCAGACAGCCCGTTGTGTGGGCCCAGAAACACACTGCATCTATTTTGCTGGCAATGTGCAGGCTGGTGAGCTAGTGGATAGACTTTGATGGGGGGAGGGGCGTGTGTCAGAAACAGAGGTCCACACTTCCCCCATTACAGGTGATGGGAGGGGGGAGTTCCGGAGAACTGGACAAAGAAATAATGGCGCAGGGCGGGGATGTGTGTGTTAGACTCCCGGGTCATGAAGAAGCTGACTCTGTCCTGAAATGTCGTCACAGGTATTATCAACACGAAATTTGCCACGAGAGGCTGTGCCACAGAGAGCGCCTGCCACACCAAGGCTGGAGCCGAGGTGCCTTCAGCCTCCTACCTCTACTTCCTGCGCCGGGCAGACTGCCTCCCCGCGCCCTACCCACCTGGCAGGGGTGAGTGAAGACTAAGGAGTATGTGTCTTGAGGTCCCCATTTGTCCTAGGCCTGCAGCTCTTCAGGCACCCGTAAATTAAAACTGATGAAACAGAGTAAACCTCAGGTCTTGTGACCGGATGCATCTTGGGAGGGTGGGTGTAAACAGTTTGGGTCCCAGCGTTCTTTTCTGACTCTTGCCCCTCCTCCCGCTCCAGTTCAAAGAAGGGAGGGTTTCTATGTGGTAACACAGGCTGAGGTAGAAAGATCGTGAGTTCAGGATGAACTCGGGCTGCATAGCCAGACCCTGTCTCAAAAACAAACAGAAAAAGATCCAGGTGGTGCTGGCTGCACACCTTTAATCCCAGCACTGGGGAGGCAGAGGCAGGTGGATCTCTGTGAGTTCGAGGCCAGCCTGGTCTACATAATAAGTTTCATGACAGCCAGAGAGCCACACAGTAAGACTTGGGGTAGGAGTGTGTCGGGGGGGGGCAGGCCAGCCTGGGCTACAGGAGAACCTGATCTTTTAAAAAGAAAAAGGGTGAAAAATATGTGGTCCTTGCTTTTGAAGGGCAACATGTCAATCTCCTAAGTATGTTATCTTTTATAATCATGTTACGCTCAGAGCTCCATGAACTTGATTTGTTATTTACTGCTATTATTTAAGACTCTCATTATATAGTGCAGTCCAGCCTCAAACTCAAGGCAAAACTCTGCCTCACCCTCTAGAGTGCTGGGATCATAGCTGCGAACCCCACCCAGTTGGAATTGATATTGCTCCACTTCACAGGTGGAAACATTGAGGCGGATGGTGGCTAGCACTTGCCTTGAGACAAACAGCTAGGATGGGCGAGAATCCTGATTTGAACCCTGGCCTGTCACACACGCCAAAGGCAGTGGCCACCTCTCCTGACTTGACTCTCCCTCTCTCACCTGCTTTTACGTCTGCAGCGGGTGCCTATTAATAGTGAGAACCCCAGGGTTGTTTTATGACGAAGACAGCTACTTTAAAAGCACTTCCAGCAGTCGGTGCCACCTTTAAGGGAATGATGGCTCTTCAGACACTATGTCTCAGTAAACACTAATCACTGTGATAGCTGCCACTTAGCGTGGCCATTAGTTGGCAGGTGCCACTGCACCAACTGGAGCAGGCTACATTATGCTACAGTAACAACTTCCTAATCTCAGCTGCCGAAAACAACAAAGGTGTATGAGTCAGCTGTGCTGCAATAACGCCATGTAACAAACCAGCCCCAAACTAAGACTTTAAGACAACACACCTTCTAAGGTTGTGTAGGTTGGGCTGTGCTGGCTCTCCTAGCTGGTTTGATCTAGAACCGGCTCTTCCGTGAACTTGTGCGAATCCTCTTCTTCAGTGGCTCTCTGGCAGATGTCCTCACGGCATGAGAGTCAAGTGCATATAAGGTGTTTGTTGTTGTTGTTGAGGTTAGCTCTGGTAGCACCCCACTGACTAAGGTGAGTCACAAGGCCAAAGCCAACACAGGAGTTTCACTGCGAGGGAGGGGTATATATCTGCTGAATGAGCACCCATTCACAAAAGGCTGATGCTTCCCTTCGCTCTACAAGTTTAGCATAATCCAAAGCGGGTTTCTGCTCGATCCAGGCATGGATCAGCCAATTTCTGTGCCAAAAGGAAGTACCTAGAAATGCCTCACCTGTGTGATTAAACACTGTGTGACCCAGGAGTGGCTCAACACTCTCAGCTCCATGGAGGGAGCTGGTCACATGGCCACACCTCACCGGAACTAACTCCTTCCCTAGTCAGAAGGCTGAGAGCTGGGTAGTTTCAGAAACAGCGGGTGTGCTGGCCTTTGAGAGGTGGCTTCTCATCTTTCCTGCTTCAGTCTGCACAGTGGTACTACCATTCTCATCCCTGTTTTCAAGAGATGAGTCTTGAGACTAGAAGGCGATGTCAATCAGTTTGAAGATCACAGAGCTCAAATGTAACAGAGCTTAGGGTTTTAGCAGGGCTTGGTAGAGTATACCTTTAAACCCAATGCCTGGGAGACTGAGGCAGGATAATGAACTGAAACATAGCCTAGGTTACATACCAAAAGCCTTGTGAATTTTGTGTCAGTAGTAAGGATAGACCTACGGCCTTGACTATGTTAGGAAGGTGCTCTTACCACTGAGCCACGCCCCCAGCCCCTCACTGGGGGATTCTAGGCAGGGGCTCTACCCCTGAGCCACACCTCAACCCATCACTGGGGATTCTAGGCAGGGGCTCTACCCCTGAGCCATACCCCAGCCCCTCACTGGGGATTCTAGGCGGGGGCTCTACCACTGAGCCACACCCCAGGCTCTCACTGGGAATTCTAGGCAGGGGCTCTACCACTGAGCCACACCCCAGCCCCTCATTGAGGATCCTAGGCAGGGGCTCTACCCCTGAGCCACACCCCAGCCCCTCACTGGGGGATTCTAGGCAGGGGCTCTACCCCTGAGCCACACCCCAGCCCCTCACTGGGGGATTCTAGGCAGGGGCTTTACCACTGAACCACACTTGAGCCCTCACTGGGGGATTGTTAGAAAACGCATTGAGCTTTATCCCCAGCCCCGGCTTCACAACCTGACAGTGATGGCAGGGAGCCCAAGGACAGCCAGGGAGGAAACCCAGTTCATAAGCACTTTTCAAGCTTCTGATTGCATCATGTTTGCTGTTGTCCTAGTGGCTAGAATCCAGAGTCAGGCTGAGAGCACATCCAAGTGCTTGTCCATCACAAATTTGGAAGCTCTTAAAAGTCACCAATTCACCAGGCAATGGTGGCGCACGCCTTTTAATTCCAACACTGGGAAGGCAGAGGCAGGTGGATCTCTGTGAATTCAAGGCCAGCTTGGTCTACAGAGTGAGTTCTAGGACAGTCAGGGCTGCACAGAGAAACCCTGTCTCAAAAAAAAAAAAAAAACCAAAAGAATTTTTAAAAACTCATCAAGTTCAAGGCTGGGGGAGATGACTCAGAGATGAAAGCGCCTTTCCCACCACACGCATATACACATACACACATGCGCGCACACACTTAAAATTAATAAATCAAACCTTTTACAAAAACACACACACAACAGGACTTCTACTCTTTTATTTGTTTTTCCAAAACACACCACAGGTTGACCAGACTGTTGGATTGTCCCCCATTCCAATAGACAGTTCCTTCATGAGCCAGAAGTGTAGGACTCATTCTCCCCTAAGCTGAGGAGGGCATCTCATCTGCTCACCGATTTTGGGAACCTGCTCTTCTGACAGGGCCAAAGCCAAGGTTCACTGTACCGTTGCAATTCCAGCCTGGAGGGCTGACATTTCCCAGAATCCCTGCGTTCAGGCTCTTCCAGACCCCAGGAGCCTCATGGGATCACCCTGCTGGCAACCAGCGGCTTGTCCACAAGGAAGAAGAGTCTTTTCTATTGAGACAGGCAGCTCACTCTCAGCTTTACTCATACCCCGAAAAAGCCTAAAATCCTAACCAAAGAGTTAGGCACCATATGTAGTCGCTTACCCCTGTAACCCCAGAACTTCAGAGGCTGCTACACACGTTTGAAGCCAGTCAGCTAGAGAGTAAGACATCATCCTACCTCGGAGGGGGAAGACCTAGTTTAGAAGGCAACCATTCCTGCCTGCAACCCAGGATGGGAGAGGGACAGGATGACCCCTGGGTTCAAGCGTCTGAGACAGCCTGGACCCTCAAGTTACCAAAACAACAAACTGACAAACCACCCACAGGCCACAACACAACAGCGCTGACCAGCACACGCAAGGGCTACACATGCTGCTTTCTTCTGATGTGTCCAGCATGCGCCTGCTGCCTGGAGGAGAGAAGGAGCAGCAGCAAAGCCCAGAGCAGGGATGCCAGGAGGCACCAAGCTGAGGCATGGTCAGAGCTGGAGGACCAGGATTCCAAGGCCATTGCCAGCCACATGCTGAGTTCGAGGAAAGCCTACACCATGTCAAAATACCAAAAAATAAATAGAAGGAGCAGAGTGTTGGCGAGAGCAGGGCACTTCATCGGAATCACAGAAGGCGCCAGGTTGGCTGCCTTACTGTTCTCAGGGAGGTAGGGCCCAGGCAATAGAGACTAACAACTGTGTTCAAGGTCTTTCAGGAGCAGCAGCAGTACACGGGAGCTGGGTATGTGTTCGAGTGTGCTCACATGCCAGGGGGCATGCTTGGACACATGCACGCGTATACACAGCAAATTCTCAGTACCTGCAGTGGTAACTAACACTGTTGACTTACAACCTACAGTCACTGTCCGGATGTGGCTATGGAGGAGTGTCTAGGCTAACTGTGAGACCACATACTGTTTGAGGAAGCATTTGATACACCGTAGTCCTGGGGTGAAGTAAAAGGAGAAATCGCACTGAATACCAGAATTTCTCTCTCTGCTTCCCAAATGGGGCTGCAATGTGACTACCTGCTCCGCCCTCCTGCTGACATGACTCCTGTCCCAGTGGCCTGTATCCATAGACTCTGAGCTAAATACAGTGTAATTTTTCTCATAAGTTGTTTTCCTTGGGTATGTTGTCACACAACAAGAAAGCAACCAATACAGCTTGCTAGATGCCATTTGCTGGTGACTTGCCCGATATCCTCTTACCCAAACTAGGTAGGACCCTCTGCCCCTGGATTTGCGCATAGACCTCCTGTAATCCTACAGCCACTTCATATCTGTATTGTCACACACTGTGGCCACTAATCACATGTGATTAACGCCACTGAGAAAAGGCAATCTCAAATTTTATTTGTATTTGATTCATCGACACATCACAGGTTTGGAAAAACTATAAAGCCAGGAGGTGGTGCAGGCCTGCAATTTCAGTTACTCAGGAGGCTGAGAGAGGAAATTCCCAAATTCAAGGTCAGTCCAGGAAACTGAGACTTTGTCTCAAAATCAAAAGAGGATGTAGCTCAGTGGTAGAGTCCCGCCTAGAGTCCATAATGAGGAGCTGGGGGCGTGGCAGTGTTAGAGCCCCTGTCCAGAGCCCCCACCCCCCATGAAGGGCTAGGGACAGAGTTCCAGAATAAAGTGTTTGCCTTGAATATGTGAGGCACTGGATTCAAACCCCAGCTTCGGGGGAACCTATGAAACCTAACTGAGGCAACGTGGGTATGTGAATTGGGTTCTCCACCTATGAATTCAAGTATTTCCAATCAGGTGTGTGAGCTGAGGTGTGCTCAGGTGTGAGGGACGCATAGGCTCTCAGTGAGAAGAATGCCAGGTATCTCAATAAGAGCTTTAAAATGGAGCCAGGTGCTAGGGCTCAGGGCTGTGCAGGGGCCAAACCACAGGAGTTCAAGGTCAGTCTAGACTAAATAGTGAGATGGGACTCGTAGCTCAGACGGGCCTGCGGCTCTCCACTGTCGCTGAAGATGGCATTAAACCTCTAGTTCTCCTATCTCCACCAAGTGCTGGGGTTGCATGCATGTGCCTCCATATCAGGTGCCCCCTCGACTCGTGTGGGGGCAAATTGTGTCAGTGGTGAGAGTTCAAGGTTAGATGGGGGTGGTACCCGACTACGCAGCCCTCAGAAGCTCTCATGGTTCTAATGCTTTCGTTTGGCAGATACACAACACTCATTCAAGTGATGACAATGACCAAGCTGTGCCTCTCCCTGTTTACTCTCCCACTAGGTGCTTGCTTCTCCCTAGCTTGTGCCTTTTTGTAACAAGATATTGACCACCTGAATTCCAGGCCACATGCCAATGATCAATAAACTAAAATACTAAACACTAGGCACCTACCGTGTGTCAGGCACTGCTCTGGGTGCTAGGGTACACCCAAGAAAAGGACAGGCACGGGGCAAGAGCCAACAACCAGGTGAATGAAAGAACGAACAAATAAATAAAGCCATTATCGACACAGGAATGATCACATGGCCAGGGTCAGTGTAAGCTACTTGGGGTGATCAGAAAGCTTCTAAAGGAGCCATTTCAGGGAGATCTGATGGATAAGGACCCAATCTCAAAAAGATGGGGAGGCAGAGCATTCCACAGAAAAACAGAAAATCACAAGTCCTGAGGTGGGACCCAAGCATCAGAAAGACAAACCAGGCTTGCTGGAGATGGATAGGGAATGAGAGGAGGCAGGGGCCAGGTCACACAGTACCTTGCTGTGTCGATGAGTCTCTGGCCTGCATCTCTGAGCCTGGCGGCCCCATCTACCCAGTCCTCCTTTTCTGTTTTGACACTGAAGAACAATACGGTGGCACATCCCACCTACACAAAGCTAGCAGCACTGTGGTTTCTGCCTCACTCCTGGTACCTTCCCAGAGAAGTCTAGACTGCTGCAGCAGGACATCCCCTCCTCGCCTTTCCGAAACAGCAAGAGCGAAGCACTCCTTATGACAGAGGAAACCAGTGATAGAGTAAAGCGGAACAGGAACACACATGCCAGAGACCCTGGATCACCCAGCACCTCTAAAGTGGGGGTAGTCACACTGCTTCCCAGTAAAGCACGGGGAGGCATTTCTCAAGTGTGGGTCTCTACTCTTCCATAACGAAAAGACCCCATTCCCAGAATCTGGCCATCAGGAGACCACCATGCCTAGACCTCTGGTTCCTTCCCTTCAATTTTGTGGGACAATGTTCTCTACACCAAAGCCTCCGAGATCAAATGGCGGACGAACCTCCATTCTCCATGAGACCAAGGCGTCTCTACAGGGTTTCCTACCACACAGGAATTGACAACCGAGTCCCACGTCTTAAGCACCAGCATTTAAGACTCTCATGGCTCCTGAAATGAAAAACCTGTTCTTTCCGAGGCAACTTACACATCTTGTTTCCCATTGGGACCCAGCCCTTCAAGGGTTCTAACTCCCTATAGTACCAGGCCCACAGCCATAGGTCCACTCACAGGCAGTAATCTAGGCTTAAATATCTAGGACCAGGTGCCAGCTGGAGGCCAAGAGGCTCCCATTTCTAGGAGCCCAGGCCCCCAACTCCCTTCACTGCATTAGCATCTGAAAGGCAAACTAATGGCGCTCAGACCCTACTCCCATTCATAACCCAGGAAATCAGGTGACTGTATGTTGCAGATTTCAACGAGAAGTCAGTCTCCTTCAAGTCCCCGGGTCTGAGTACCACCCCTCAATCTCAGAGGCTGTTGGGCCAGAAATCAAGTCACCAGACACCCCAGCCCCTACCACACTCCTCATTGGTTGGGCTCTGGGGGTCCCAGCACCGCCTCAGCATCAGCCAGCATCTCATCCAGGGCCTGCAGCAGTACACCGTGAGCAGCACGGTAACCCAGCCCACCTGTCGCTGCTGCGCCACCTGCGGGCCATAGGAAGGAGAGTGCGCCCAGCGCAGCGCCTCCCGCTGTGCCCTCACCTGCCCAGGACCCCAGTCTGGCCTCCACCTCAGCGCGTGTCACTGGGCCCGGGAAGCGCGTGCGCGCGGCCAGCACTCCAGGAGCCAAGCCCAGGGCGCGCTCACGGCGTGCCACTGCCGTTGGTTCGAGGCCCAGCGAGCGCCGCCACTCGGCCAGCTGTCCCCGGAGAAGCGCCACGTCGCAAGCCCAGCCCAATCCTGGTACTGGAGCGGCCGCCGCCGCCAGGCTGGCCAGCAAGGCTGGCCTCCACGCTCCTGCCCGCAGCGCTGCCGCCTTCCTCTGCGCCGCCTGGGGACTTGAGGGTGGCAGCGCCAGCAGAAGCGCCCCGGACTGAGCCGCAGGCAGTGTACGCTGCAGCCAGGTTCCCAGCCCCGGGAGACCACCTAGGCGCAGAGGGAACACCGGCGGAGGCACTTCCTCCAGCACCTCCCACGGCTCATCTTCCGGGCTCCGAGCAGCCGTGGGCCCTGAGTCCCCGGAACCAGGGTTTTCTTTTCCTTCGCTGCGTGCATCCCCTGACTTCCCGCCGCCTGCATTCTCGAGCTTCTCAGGTTTTTCTTCTTCCAGAGCCTCGGGTGGATCCTCGCCCTGGCCATCCGTGCGCACACCGACGAGTGGAGCATCTGGGGACACCAATGAGCGGACCTGGGCCCAGTTCTCTTCGGTGGGAGCCCCAGGGGTGACGAGGATCAGGGCATCATAGTGGGTCGGATGAGGGGTGGCAGGAGGGGATGTGGCCGTGGGGCCCAAGGGAACTGTCCAGAGCACCACGTTGGGGCGCTCTGGAGCCGGATAAGGGGTGGGTCCAGTGGGCTCCGAGGCAGGCGCAGCACCTGGGTCGCCAGGATCCAGGCCCAGTAGCATGTCCAGCACAAGTCCTACATTGGCAGCGCCGGCCACCGCCAGGTCCAGTCGCGCGCTGCCCAGGCGCTCAAGGCCAGCGCGCACCCACGACAGTGCCGCCTCTAGGCCACCCGTCTCGAAGGCCTCGCGCACAGCTTCCAGCTCTGCTGCACCCAGCACCTCGAAGCCATCCTGAGCAGGTGGCAGGAGCCTGCGGGGGTGGGGGAGGGAGAGAAAAAGTCAAAGGCAGAAGAGCTTTAAAAGCAGAAAAAGCTGGGCGAGCAAGAACCTGGCCACGGTTATATTAAAAAAAAATCTTTCTGAATTCCAGGAACTAAAGCAAAATAAGAAATCAGGTGGGGCGGGACCATAAAGTTAAGGGAGGGTCTTAAGGGCTGCCCAGAGGTCTGGATACCACAGGTAAACTTAAAGTCAGGTTTTCAACAGAACCGAAAACGAGGACTCGGTATCTTCCCTGATACAACCCTCAGGACTAGGGAAGGCTTCTAGGAGGTGGGGCTTAGAGGAAGGCAAGGACGTAATGGCGAATGCGCCGTGGCTTAAGATGTCCCCAAAGGCTTTTTTCCTAAGGGTGGATGTTAGGAAGGGCGTGTGAGGGGAGAATTCACCTAGGACTGGCAGGGCAGGTGAGGCTAGTAAAAAAGAAGTGCTCTCGGGCAGAGGCAGCCCCTTCCTGATTCATAAACTGAGGGAGCTGGGATGGGGTGGGTTTAGGAGAGAGTCAGTAGGCTGTGTGCATCTGAGAGGGAATTGGGGAATGGAGGAGTTGGTCGACCAATCAGAAACAACAGAGCTCCTTCCTAAAGTGTTTGGCGCTAGGAAAAGGGGGAGGGAGGGACGGGGAGTCACTTGAGAACCAAGCTGATGAGTAGGAGGGTGCTGGAGAGTCTTCGGGTAAAATCTTCGAGGGACCACAAATGTCACAAAGTCCAGCATTTTGTCTGTAGACAGTATTTGCACATGTCTGGGCCTCTCTCAATTCTAACAAGAGAGAGGGGGCCTGTGATGCCAGATAGCTTACACGAGCTAAGATCTTTGTGGCAGGCCCTCCAGTTGACCCTTGATGGGTGCATGTTTTAAATAACAAAAAAGGTAAAACAACAAAACAAACAACAAACAACAACAAAAAAACGAGCCCTCAGCACTCATTTATGATGAAACGTCCCTGATCTCAAAATCTGTGCTCATGGGTGGTTGGGGGAGTCTAGGCAAAATAAGTAGGATATGGAAAAATAGACAGCCAATAAAGTCTTGCCTCTAACTCTCTAGGAACAGGGCTCGAGAACATTAAAGACCACGGTAGCCGAGCTGGGTCTAGGCTAAAGACATCAGGCCACCCTACCCAGCCCGAACCGTTCCCTCACCTCTGCAGCGCCTCCGCCTGGGTCCGCAGCACCACCTGCAGGCGCTCCAGCTCTTCGCAGCGGTCACTGCTGCTGCAATCGGCCGGTAGCACAAAGAGAGGAGCAGCTCCTAACCCAGCACTGTTCAGCATGGTCGCAGTTTGATCCCGGGCCTGAGCTTCATTCTGGGAATCTCCAGGACGGAGATTCCGTACAGCCAGCAGCGGGGTCCCTCGGGCCAGGGCGGCCCGCGCTGCCTCTCCCAGAGCTGGGGTCAAGGGCTCCTCAGTCCCCTCAGATCCTGGTAGAACCAATACCAGCAAGTTGGCCTCCGCCGCCCAGGGTCCTGGAGCTGCGGGTGGGCAGCTCAGTTCGCCTAGGAAGAGGCCTGGGGCCGCAGCTCTCAGAACGGGGACTCCAGAATCCGGTCGTCCTTCAGGAATCTCTACCGTTTCCACATTCTTGCCACATAACGCGGAGATCAGCGCGGACTTTCCCGAGCCCGGAGGCCCCAGGAATAAGGCAGTCACGTCACCCTGCGGCAGAGGCATTGCTGGAAAGCAAGAGGTGGGGAAACACAGGGGTCAGGAACACGGGAGACCTTCTGTTTTGTTTTCGTTTGCTTTTTTTTTTTTTTTTAAGACAGAATCTCACTGTGTAATCCTGGCTGGCCAGGACTCAGAGATCCTCTTGCCTCTGCCTCCCAGAATGCTGAGATTAAAGGCGTGCACCACCACGCCCGGCAACACCCTTTCCTAGCTGCCCTACGGTAGATCCAGACTTCACTCCTCCGGTCTGTCCTCTATTTTCATTCTCCAGTGTGACTGCAGGACCTAGAAACCCAACGCCAAGGGCCTATTCCCTGGAGAGCTAGGTGTCTGTCCATTCTCCACACGAATCCTTTCTATTTCAAAAGCTCAGAAATCTGGCTGCAGTCACTCGGGGACCCGAGGATGGCCCTCCCTCTCCCCGTTCCAAATCACCAACCGAGCAAAGTGTAGACACGCCGGGAGAACAGGGGGAGCCCCGCCCCTTAAGACGAGCTGCTGGAGGCTGAAGGGGTCGGAGCGTCAGGATTCAGAGACATTCGGACGCCTTCGGGTGGCTCTATCTTGACGTCATTCCTTCCAAGACCGGGTGTGTCTTGGAACGCCGCCGCGGAGAGACAAGTTCTTGGCAGCACTCAGCACTCGAGACGCTCTCTCTTCCTAGCTAAGGCTGTTTGGGCACTGGAACAATGTAGCTCGAGCGCGTGCGCAGAAAGCTTAGTGGGTGGTGCCCCACCACGACCAGCAACCAAAACGCCTGCGCAGTGAGTATAGGCTTGTACGGCAAAAACAGTCCGAGCAGTAAGCTTCGAGTTGTACGGAACTCTCTGCGAACGTCATCACCACGCTCCAAGTACAGGGAAGGACCTCTCCACCTGCCAGTCCCAGGATCTGGCTGACTGGCTGTGCTACTGCCGAAATACAACCTTGAGCCTGGCTGGGAGACACGGGTGGGGGCAACAGACCCGGAGTTCACTGGAGTCTGTAGACTGGAAAGAGTCTACCCCGCTCTCCTCCGGTAGCCGCGCTGTGGCGATCGACTATCAGGCGCAGTTAAGGGACAGTCCTCGTGCTATGAGGAGGAAAGCTAGAGGGCGCAGCGAGCTTGGGGCAGAAGGCTGTGCGTGGGAGCAGCGTGGTCCAAAAATGAGCTAGAAGCTAGCGAGCGCGGCGGTGGCTATGGGTGAGACAGGACTCACAGATGTCAGAGAAGGGTGTCTCTTGGAAAGAGGCGGGCTAAAGTGTGAGTGCCACTACTTGTCTGGACCCTCGTGAGAAACTGGGACAACGCTGGTATGAAAGATCAAAGGTTCCATCTTGTCAAGGCTTTGTTTTGGTGAAGATCAGAGGTCACAGGGACTTGAAGATCGAAGTGTCAAAAACCTGAGGAGTCTCTCGTATGAGACGGTTGAAGCTTTTCTAGTGAGTGTCATCGGAGTTCAATGACTGTAAAAAATAAATAAATTAACGGGCCTTCTGTGGCCGGTGACACAGGCGCAGCCTCACACTTTTTTTTTTCCTGTTCTTGATCAGAACATGGGGGACATCACTATGAAGAGACCGCGGAGCGGCAGGCTTCTCCAAGGAGAGGGAGGCAACCTCTTTGAGTACTTGCTGGATAGAGGGGGTGGTGCAGGAGTAACCCTAAAGGGACCTGAAGTGGCTGCAGTGACCCTAGCTGGCTAGCTATGTGCCAGAAATGGCCTCCTCTCATGATCAGATGTACCCACTCTGAGGACAAGCATTAGCAGGATGCCATTCTGAGGTGTAAGACTTTAAGACAATCCTGAAGCCATTTTTGACAATTCTGAATCCTCTCAGCCTCTGTGCCATAGTGCTTCCCCTCCTCCCCTGGGAACCAAGGACCTAACAGCTACACTTGCACGTACTCAGTTCCTCAGTTCCTGAACAATTACCCATATACGTATGTTTTGATTCAGTCCCCTGGGAAACAGGGTCAAAATGACCTCTTACCTCATCTGATCTGGCAACAGCTCTCCAGTCAATTATTGGTAATAGTTCTTTCAAATAAGCCAATCAGAATAGTCAAAGAACAACCTCCCTTGCTTCTGTGGCCCCTTTAAAAGTAGACTGTACCAGCTATTTGGGGTCCCTCGGCTTCCCGAATGCTGGGGGACCCTGTCATGACAGAATTAATAAAATCCTCATGCTTTTGCATCGGCTGTGGTGTGAGATGGTCTCTGGGGGCGACTCCTTCTCGGTGTTTGGACGCTAGAGTCCAACAGAGGGATAAAGGGATTCCAGGTGAGGTTGGGGTTGTGACATTGTGACTGGGAATATCCTTACTGTGCGTGAGTCCCAAGGTTCTTGGCCCAACTTGTCCCTGGACTGGTTTTTGTTTTTTGAGACAGGCTTTCTTTGTAGCTTTGGAGCCTGTCCTGGAACTAGCTAAGTAGACTGGGCTGGCCTTGAACTCACAGAGATCGGCCTGTCCTCTGCTCCCCCCCCCCTGCCCCCAGTGTTGGGATTAAAGGCGTGTGCCACCATTTGCCCAACTAATCCTTAGACTTTCAATGTGACTGGGCTTCAGTTTCTTCTTAAAAGGGTGCAATAACCGGTGCAATAATCTCTGTGAGGTCAAGGTCAGCCTGATCGACACAGAGAAACCCTGTCTTGATAATCTTATATACATAGCCAGGTGGTGGTGGTGGTGCACGCCTTTAATCCCAGCACTCGGAAGGCAGAGACAGGCGGATCTCTGTTCATATACATATATGACATATATACTTGTGCATGCTATGCAGGGGCTCTACCACTGAGGCATACCCTTTGTCCTTTACTAGGGGTAGTCTCTAGGCAGGAAGAGTGTTAAACAGGGTTTATAGGGTTGGTGGTGGTAGCACACGCCTTAAACCGAGCGGGGGGGGAGGGGTGCAGTGGTAGGTGGATCTCTGAGTTCAAGGCCAGCCTGGTCTACAGAGTGAGTTCCAGGACAACCAGGGCTACACAGAGAAACCCTATCTTGAAAAAAAAAAAAAGAAAGAAAGAAAATTTAAAGGGTGGTGTTACAGGATTAGGTTTGTGTGTGGTTTTTAGGAAGAATTCAAAGGAGAGGGTCATTGTTCAGCATGCATGCAGAGGCATCCATGATTGTTTTTTTTTTTCCTTTTTGTTCTGTTTTTCTGAGACAAAGTCTCAGTAGCTTGGTGCAGCGCTACAGCGTCTGCAACTGACTGCTCCTGAGACAGTAACAAGCAGCTCAGACATCTGGGAGCCAAGTGTGTGTCCCTGACTGTCCTATAGACCAGGCTAGCCTTGAACTCAGAGGGCCACCTGCCTCTGCTTCCCAAGTGCTGGGGCTAAAGGCGCGTGCACCTGTCAGTGATTGTAAGCCTGACCCGGGAGGGATGGACGGACTGGGGCTGAAGCTGAGGCTGGCACAGAAACAGTCACACTCATGGCTTGGGTAATATTCATTCTTGTCTGGCTCCCATCGTAGCCTTCTCTCTAACTAACGTTTTGTGAAGTTGCATCTGTTCTCTAGACAGGCCTAGGGGTGTCAGCTCCCAGGTGTCGGGGCTGCCTGTCACTGTCTCAGGAGCAGTAATTGCCGACATTGTAGCATTACAATGTGTGGAGTTGCTAAGATCAAGACCCCAGTTTTTGGATGATGAAACCTGTCCTTGCCTAGGGTGTGGAGATTCGCCTCAGGCAGTGTCTTGATCACCGTGCACACCGCTTTGTCGGACAGGCCAACTTTGGGTTCTCAAACTGGCTGCACCTTCGTTTCTCTGTGCTTCAGTCTGCCCAGCCACACACAGCCTAGTCACTGGTGATGGCTGCTGCGGTTCCAAGGCCCAGGACAGGGCATGGAGATTCCTCCTGGCCTTGCCCCTCGCTTCTCCCCATATTCCCCAGGCCACCTAGGAGTTCCACCGTGCACCCACTGCCTCATCACGTTCACCAATGCCAACTTCCCGGAGCGTCACGTGACGAAAGAGCACCTGGAAGACTTTATGGTCCATAAGCTGCAGGAAGCCTTCTTCATTCTGCTTCACCTGTGCCTGCTCATGCCCCTCCAGCAAGGTCCTGATCCACCAATGCAGCCACAGTCCTACTGCCAAGCCCTCCCCACGGTGCTCACCCAAGACCCAGTAGACCCAGTCTGCTTCTCAGGCAGCACCACCAGGTCCATGAAACCCACACCACCCCTAGCTCCTTTGCCTGGACTGAGTGTGGCCAGGATATTGCCCAGAAAGCAGGGCGCCATCGACACTAGAGCGGGCATGCTTAGGGGAGCTCTGAGTAGACATGAGCCCTCTCTGCAGTGATGGGGCTCTACAGCTGGGGGATCCACCCATGCTAGGGATGCGGATCTTCTGGATTTAATTACCCTGCGAGGAAGGCACAGGTATCACATCTGCAGTTTTTGGAGAACATAGGGTCTTTCCAGAAGCAGAGGCATCGGATAAATAGACGCATTGAGAAAGCAAGGAGGAAGAATTGCTCCTATCTTCCCCATTCCCAGTTAAATAGCTTCAGATTCTATAATCAACTTTAATTTTTCCCAGATGGATGCCAGGGGCTGCAGGAGGGAATTACCCTGGCGTGGTGCCTGGGTGGGGGCAGGGAAGGGAAGTGCTGCTAGCCTGCGATGCTGGGTGAGTTCCAGACCCTGAGGTACGGGGGCTGAGGTGGGGGGGGGGCTACAGTTTTAGGCCCTGTCTCTTCCATCCCTATGCCAGCTTTCCCCAACTCAAAGGGGCAAGGGCGTTGAAAGGTACTACCCACTGCCAGATAATTTACGCCCCATTTTTACTACTTTTGTGTACCATTCTAGTGATGGGCTATTTTTATATGCACAAATGAGGTCCTATGAGTAAGCCAACAGAAAGGGTGTCTAAAAACCAAACAAAACCAAACATCCATGTTAAAATATCTAAGGAGAGCCCTGGCTTTTGAGTGGGAACTGCTGGGGAACATAAGGAAGTGGGGAGGAGCGGGCACAGGGCAGAGCTGGCCCAGCCCTACAGAAGAACTAGTTTGGAATCAAACAGAGACGCCTTCTGCTTTGTGTTTCATTTGGCCAACACTGAGATTTCCTGTGGAGGCCCTGGCGATGACTTTCCTGAAAGGCCCAGCAAAGAGTTTAACTGTCATTAGGGGCAGAGTAGTGGGTGTCATCCTGGCCCTGGGAATGAGTCCCGCTGAGCCTGTATTATCCCTGAGGAATGGTTTAAAAGCCCAAAGGTGAGCTGGGCATGGTAGTGCACGCCTGTGAGTTTGAGGCCAGCTCGGTCTACAAAATTCCGGGACAGAGAAACCCTATCTGGAAAAACAAAAAGGCCACAGGTGAAGTGGATGTGGTAGAAATGATTCCTGTCAAATTTTTTTTTTTTCCGAGACAGGGTTTCTCTGTAGCTTTGGAGCCTGTCCTGGAACTAGCTCTTGTAGACCAGGCTGGCCTCGAACTCCCAGAGATCCGCCTGCCTCTGCCTCTGCCTCCCAAGTGCTGGGATTAAAGGCGTGTGCCACCACCACCCGGAGGCTTCCTGTCAATTTTTAATGAGCCAAACAAAAACACACTTTCCAGATTCCCTTGCAGCTAGCTGTGGCACTGTGACCAAAATCTGACTAAATTTCTGGGTAGAGTTCCCAAGTTGAGAGACTTACCTTTCCTCTCCCTTTCTCCGTGGAATTGGACGTGATTACCCAGCAATTGTCACCATAAAGTCAAAAGCAACACA